CCAGAATAAGCGTCGGCACACAGACGACAGACAAACCAACTACTGTCTGTAACCCTCGCTGCACATACTCGCGAGGTTTAAATGGAATTACTAGACCAACATTCATGAATGTGACGACGAGCATTTTGGTGGGGCGATAGCATGAGGCGTATTAATCATGACGTGACCTACTCGTCGTTGAGTCTGCTTCCCATGGAACATAGCTTTAACATTAATGTATAAAGACATTCAAAGATTCTAGCATCTAGTCCCATGACCAGCCCACCTGCCCCATTTGGGGCATGCACTCTTTTGTCATGCATCAACATACGTCGTGCTCTGTTTCTGCTTGACGGCTGTTGAAGCTAATTGCATTTGTTAATCATGAGTGACTTACGTCGTCGTTGAGTCTGCTTCCCATGGAACATAGCTTAAACATTAATGTATAAGACATTCAAAATTCTTAGACATCTAGTCCCACCTGCCTCAGCCCATTTGGCGCGTGCACTCTTTTGTCATGCATCAACATACGTCGTGTCTGTAGTTCTGCTTGACGCCTGTTGAAAGCTAATTGCATTGTTTTAATAAAAATGAGATCCTTCTTCATCTGTAGCATGCACCTCAGTTTCTCATAGATGCTCTCTTCAAACTCTCTTGTCTCTCTGAATTACCCGAGCTAGCAGGTCTGCAGATGCTGGCCTATGTGTTGGGTTGTTGAAAGGCACTGCACTGTAGCTTGTACAAATGGTGGTCTGATTCTGGTAATGCTTTGTTTACTTTTCCATGTGTAGCGCTTAGGACCGTAGGGTAATTCAGAGAGACAAGAAGAGTTTGAAGAGAGCATCTATGAAGAACCAGGTGCATGCGATGTAAGCGCTACACATGTATTCACTTCGCGTCAACTCAGTTCGTCTGCAAGGCCTTCCAGAGTCAGTATCTAGGAGGCAAAAGATACTTTGGAAACTCTCGTATGAGTGCTAAGCTATAGTGTCTGGGTCACTGGTCACTCATCAACGATCCTGAAATTTCCAAAACGGTTATTTTTGCGGTCATTGAGCAAAACATGTTATGGGTCGGTAAGAGTCACGTGAAGAAACACGCGTGCGACCGTGCAGGTAAGCCAAGCCATTGGTCGCCGCCTCAATTAAGCCAAGAATTTTCGCCTTTATGAAAGAATTCTGTCGCTTTATCGTTGATTCGCCACGAAAGGAGATTGAATCGTCGATGCGAAAACGATTCGTTGCCCCGAAAACGGTCCACTCACCCCGATACAGAGTTACTGGGGAATAGTTTTGACGCACCATAATACCACACGATGTTTCCTGCGACTTTAACGCGCTCCAATAGTAAAAACATGCAAGGAAAAACGAGGCATCCACTAAAATTAATTTCTAAATGGTCACGACGAGTGAGAAAGTTGGATATCAGCAGGAAAGTAAGCCTTTTGTTTGGATCATGTGCCCAACCATGGCCTGTAGTGCCAGAATAAGCGTCGGCACACAGACGGACAGACAAACCAACTACTGGTCTGTAACCCTCGCTGCACATACTCGCCGAGGGTATGGGAATTTACTAGACCAACATCATGAAGTTACCTAACGAGCATGTTGTGGCGATAGCATGAGGCGTTATTAATCATGAGTGACCTATCGTCGTTGAGTCTGCTTCCCATGGAACATAGCTTAAACATAATGTATAAGACATTCAAAGAGTCTAGCATCTAGTCCACCTGACCCCATTTGGGGCATGCACTCTTTTGTCATGCATCAACATACGTCGTGCTCTGTAGTTTCTGCTTGACGCCTGTTGAAAGCTAATTGCATTTGTTTTAATCATGAGTGAACTTATGTCGTCGTTGAGTTGATCCCATGGAACATAGCTTAAACATTAATGTATAAAGACATTCAAACATTCTAGCATCTAGTCCCACCTGCCTCAGCCCATTTGGGCGTGCACTTTTTGTCATGCATCAACATACGTCGTGCTCTGTAGTTTCTGCTTGACGCTGTTGAAAGCTATTGCATTTGTTTTATAAAAAATGAGATCCTTTCTTCATCTGTAGCATGCACCTCAGTTTCTTCATAGATGCTCTCTTCAAACTCTTCTTGTCTCTCTGAATTACCCGAAGCTAGCAGGTCTGCAGATGCTGGCCTATGTTTGGGTGTTGTGAAGGCACTGCACTGTCGCTGTACAAATGGTGGTCTGATTCTGGTAATGCTTTGTTTAACTTTTCCATGTGTAGCGCTTAGGACGGGTATAGGGTATTCAGAGAGACAAAAGAGTTTGAAGAGAGCATCTATGAAGACTCAGGTGCATGCGGGGTGGGTAAGCGCTACACATGTATCACTTCGCCGTTCACTTCAGTTCGTTTTGCAAGGGCTCCGGAGTCAGGTATCTAGAGGCAAAGATAAACTTTGGAAAACTCTCGTATGAGTGCTTAAAGCTATAGTGTCTGGGTCACTGGTCAACTCATCAACGATCTGAAATTTCCAAAATCGGTTATTTTTGCGGTCATTGAGCAAAACATTTATGGCGGTAAGATCACGGTGAAGAACACACGGCGTGCGACCGTGCAGGTAAGCCAAGCCATTGGTCGCCGCCTCAATTAAGCCAAGAATTTTCGCCTTTATGAAAGAATTCTGTCGCTTTATCGTTGATTCGCACGAAAGGAGATTGAATCGTCGATGCGAAAAACGATCGTGCCCCGAAAACGGTCCCTCACCCCGATTACAGAGGTTTACGGGGGAAATAGTTTTGACGCACCATACCACACGATGTTTCCTGCGACTTTAACGCGCTCCAATAGTAAAAACATGCAAGGAAAAACGAGGCATCCACTAAAATTAATTTCTAAATGGTCACGACGAGTGAGGGAAGTTGGATATCAGCAGGAAAGTAAGCCTTTTGTTTGGATCATGTGCCCAACCATGGCTGTAGTGCCAGAATAAGCGTCGGCACACAGACGGACAGACAAACCAACTACTGGTCTGTAACCCTCGCTGCACATACTCGCCGAGGAGGGTTAAATGGAATTTACTAGACCAACATTCATGAATGTTACCTACGAGCATTTGCGGCGAGAGCATGAGGCGTGATTAATCATGAGTGACCTACTTCGTCGTGGAGTCTGCTGCATGACCAAGCTAAAACATGAATGTATAGACATTCAAAGATTCTAGCATCTAGTCCCACCGACTCAGCCCCACCTGCCCCATTTGGGCATGCCACTCTTTGTACATGCACGCAACATACGCTCGGCTCTGTAGTTCTGCATGACGCCTGTGGAAAGCAATTGCATTGTTTATAATCAGGAGGACTTACGCTAGTCGTTGATTAGTCTGCTTCACATGCGACATAGCTTAAACGAATATGTATAAAGACATTCAACCATTCTAGCAGCTTAGTACCACTGCCTCAGCCCATTTGGCGCGTGCACTCTTTGCACAGGCACATCAACATACGTCGTGTTCGGTACGTTTTGTGCTGACGCCTGTTGAACGATGAAAGCTATGCATGTGTTTTATGAGATCTTTACTTCATCTGTAGCATGCACCTCAGTTTCTTCAGAGATGCTCTCTTCAGAAACTCTCGGTCGTCTCTGAATTATCCCGTAAGCTAGCAGTGATGCGATGATGCTGTGCTATGTGTGGTTGTGTGAGAAGCACTGCACGGTGTAGCTTGTACAAAGGTGGTCTGATTCTTGCGTATAATGCTTTGGTTTAACTTTTCCATGTGTCGCGCTTAGTGGACGTAGGGTTATACAGAGAGACAAGACGAGTTGAAGGTGACGAGAGCATCTACTGAAGAAACTAGGGTGCATGCCGACGTGTAAGACGCTACACATGTATTCACCTGTCGCACGTTCACACTTCAGTTGTTCGTTCTGCAAGGCTTCCCGAGTCAGCGTATCTAGGAGGCAAAAGATACTTGGAAACCCTAGGATGAGTGCCGGAAGCGTAAAGTATCGGTCAGGGTCACTGGTCAACCATCAACGATCCTGAAATTTCCAAATCGGTAATTTTTGCGGTCTCATTGAGCAAAACATTATGGCGGGAAGATCACGGTGAAGAAAACACGGCGTGCGAACGTCGTAAGCCAAAAGCCATTGGCAAGTCATAAAAACTGATATCGACACTGTGTAGGACGGGAGAAAATAAATCCTTCGTGTATCGTTTCCGATGATTCCTGACTTCCACTAGGATCCAGCATCTCCATGCAGCGCACGCTGGTATAGAGCTAGATGGTATACCGCATGCATGACCGCCGAAGAATTTTGTATGATGTGGCTCCGACATTAGATTCACGAGTCAGAGAAGCACCTCCATTACGATTATCAATGCTTCGTGATCCTCTTCGCGCACCTTTGATTGGTGAACTCCACCACAACCCGAAGGTAGCCTACTCACGAGTTTGCGGCCGGTTTCTCTCGTCATCGATCAACCACTCTGACATCTGTTTGAGCTTCCTAATAGCGTCCATCTGTGCGAGGTCTAGCTGCGGCAAGCTTACAGCGTTACGTGGCTACTATGCGGAAATTGCTAGCGCACGCTAGTGAGTTGCAAAAACAGAAGACACCCACGGATTCCACACGCTCGCATACGTACGCATCGACGACGATTGGCAAACACAGGTGTGCCAGGTTATGAGTGTGACGATTTTTGCTGAGTCAGCTCAGTGTGCAATTCCCAGCTCGCGCAACTTTGACAGAGGCGAGAAATGAAGCACGTTCATCGTGCGGTTATGCGTTGCCAGCCTGGCCGCCGCATTTACAATGCGCATTCAGACGACTATAGGCTTCTCAATCTGCATTCGAACGACTAAGTGGCTTGCTTCGCTCGCCAATCGACTGCGTGTGCCCAGGGTAGTAGCAAGAATAGCGCGTGTGTATTATAAATGCTAAGGATTATAAAAGATACATAATGGCATACATTTTTTGCTAACTATGCTCCAAACGAGAAAGTTAGATAATCCTATTTTGTTTGCCATGCTTCTATCCTATGCTGTAGCTAATAATGGTCTCAGATTAGTTAGAAGAGTTGAAATAAGCAGAAAATTAGGCCTGTTATTTGGATCACGCTCCCAACAACCTCTCATGATCTGTGCTACAAGCGTTGGACACCCTCTAGGGATAGGCATTTGATAGCCACTGCAAACTTTTGAGGCTATTTGCATGATATCCATGTCATAGTAGGGTGGTTTGTCAGGGAAGAACATTTCCCACTGCACTATTCCGAAACTCCAAACATCAGTGCCAGGTGAGAAGATGTTATCGGTAATACTCTCGGGTGCCATCCACCGTATTGGTGACGGCGAATTGCTTTGTGATGATATATAGATACCTTTATCTCTCGGAACCTCTCGCAGCAGTCCAAAGTCGGAAACTTTGCAAATCTTGTCCTCATCAAGCAAAACATTTCGTGCTGCCAGGTCCTGAGACACAATCGAAACATTACCTACAGTTTGCTCATGCTAGGGTGGTGATATGATCTTACCCGATGCGATCCCATCCTCTCTCACAGAGTAAGAGCATTCCATTGCTAACATCTTCATACATCTCATTAAAAACTCATGAGATTGCTTTTCTTTCTACATAACGGAAAACATGTTTTGATGCTAGCTGTGTCATTATCTATTTGCAGTAGTATACCTGTAATATGTCTTTTTTAAGTCTCCTTTCCATGGATAAAAACTCGCGATCACCAGACCAGTGAGAAGTCACCTATAAACTCAGATTTTATTATTTTGAGATAATTAAACTGAACTTACCTTCTCTTATAATTCCATATAGTCTTATGACATTATGATGACAACCTTGGCTCATGATTGTTATTTCATTTTCAACTTCTCCATGTTTCACTTCGGTCAAGTACTCTTACCGCAACTAGGTTTGAGTTCATTGAGCCTTATATACTTCTCCCATCATGACCTGTGAAGGATGCATTTCCTTACAATGGTGTTGTATAACAGATAAGAAAAGTGCAAACATTTGCAATCTAGTGATGCTGCTGTAAGTGTTGAGGGTTATGGACAGGCTTCTCTTTAGACGATCCTCTAATGATGAGCCTAAATAAAAAAAACGAAGTATCAGATTATGCACGTGAACACAAACACCATGACTCACATGTATTTTACACAAATGCTCTGCTGTGTGTGAAGAGTTAGTGCTATCATGACTGTTACCTTTTCCTTGGCTATTTCTGTATCCACGGCTTTGATAGTATCACTTGGCATATCAGGGGGTGTGTTGGTAACAGTTACCGTTGGTGCAAATAGTTGTTCTGATATTGAATTTGTATCTCCTCTGGTAGTAACATAAATGTCGTCCTCTGAGGATTCATTAGTGCTTTCGTCACCTACTGACTGTTCATCGTTGTATGGACTTCCAATCGGAGGTGCGCTGCTCTCTGGGAGTTTGACTGTGCTGCTGATGCCGATGCTGTACTGTTCATATTGGTACTGGTATTTCTGGTTTGGTTGGAATGGAGGCCTTGCCATTCTGGTGAAGGTATGCGACATGTTTCACTGGAGAGCCAAGATCTTCTTGGGCAAATCACTCTCCGCTACTGATCTGGTGTTCTAGATGAGGGGGTCCTCATACCGACAGTATTGGCTGTATGACGGCATTTTTGGTGCCCTGGGTGGGGCAGGTGAATAGCGCTGTAGCATGTATTATTCTCAATTTCTGAAGGAGTGTGAAAAACATTTCTTCGGTCGAACGGGTAAGGCACTATTAGATTATCAGATCCCCTGTGTTTTTCTGTCTGTCAGCCCCTAATAGTGGGACTTTTCGCATGAAAGCAATTATCGTGTTGAAGGACGGTGAAGCGGCCTCAACTGTGACGTCGCTTGTTGTGTTGGTGGCCGCCACGATTCTGTACTGGTACCTACTTAGTGGGGTGCGGATGACATCATAGATGGCATCTCTGGAACTGAAAACAGGGGATCTCTCTCCGATTGGATGCTCTAAACTGAATGGGGAGCGAGAAAGGTAGAACTCTTTTTGGAAGAGTGGAAAGATGCCGTTTTGACTGGTGCATAGTAGCCTTAAGATTTGCTGTTCTGGTCTAATTGGAGTCACTCGAATGTGCTAAATCTGCTGGATCCGAAGGTGACCGTGGTATTGTCAAGTGCGACTGAGGCGTATTTGATGTGTTTTTCACTGACCTTGACTCGAATCTCGAAATATTTTGGTATGGTTTTTCTTCAGATCTGTCGTGTGGTGTGCAAGTTTCAAGTTGTGTAGTTGCCTTAGGCTTCACTTGTGAAGGCGAAGTAAACTCCAGTTCATGATGGGTACTGTATGATGATGAAGCACTTTTCTGGTCAGGAGATATGCTTTGTGAATCCCTCAGACCCCTTTCCTCTCGTACACATGTTGTTTGCCCATATCCCTCCGTAGGTTGTATAGTCATATACATATATACTCTTCTGTATCACTGTCACATCAGCGATAATTTGACTTTAGTTTTGACCCGGGCGGCTAGTCAGCGCTTCTTTCCATTGCTGTCTCTCGTCCTGCATAATGAATGTTTTCTGATAAGTAGTACGCAGGGCGTGTGCGCATGCGTTGTAACTTTCTGTGCGCATGCGCAGCCTGTATGTGTCTTGTTACAGAATCTAAAGGCTGAAACGACTGGATATGGGGTGAAAAAAGCATCCTCCGAGTAACTTTATACTTCAACGATACGCTGAACTCTTAACCTGGAAGAAGTATGCATATTGTGTAAGTATCCATGCACTACCCATTCATCCAAGCTAGCGGCTACGACCATGTGGTATGCCCCATAGTGGTCCTTCAGCTACTCATATGCTCTGTTGCACTATACGCTGCTGCGTTGGTGCATATGCGGAGCACACATAGCTACCCGACAACCTGAAACACTTCATGGAGCTGAAAGCATGGGGTAAATGGCCAGTGAAAGGCACCCTGAAATGGCTCGAGAAGGCATTGGTTTAACCAGGATGGTGTGCACGCGTGGTGTGTCTGTCTAGCTCGGCCTCGAGCTCGGCTTCACTCGAGCCCTGAGTCAACTCATCATGGCTACGCCACTGTGAAACTGTGTGCCGCCAGTCAGACAAGAAGTACTTCATAATTAAGATAGCTAGCTACTGGAATAGCTATAGCCGCTATGTTATAATATTATGTCTGACACTAATGTATAATTATATAGACTATACCTCCGAGTATACATTAAGCTCCCAAGGTGAGTTCTTTCCTTCAAAGTGGACTTCAAATGAGAACCGAATTCCATTTGGCTTCATCTCCTTAATTTCAGTAATGTCGGCTAATTTAATTGCGTTGCTCTTTCCACCAAGCATCTATAGTCACATGAAATCAGGATACTATTATTTCAAAACTCGTTTGTAAAAACTTACACTTGGTTTGTTGTATTGGAAGGTTCCTTTCTTATAATCAATTGTAAAAGAATATGCTCTCCATCCTTTCGTCTTGCTTTTAGATTTCTTTTCTAGCAGACCTGTGTTAAACACGCAAACGATAACGACATGAAAATAGAGAAAAGAAAATATGTTACATTCTACATCCCACAGAAGCATGAGAATTGAAAAAAGAACTGTAGACGACAAAACCCACACACACTTCGTTTCCCTTTTCGCTCCTCCCACTCCCGCGCACCCTCTGCCAGCCTTTACGATACCACTCCTGTATCGACCCTCTGCTCTTGATTCACTAATGTCTTCTTCTCTCAGCCGATCGTCCGTCTCCGCCTCCGTGCTGGCCTCTCTTAACTCCTGTTCTGCCTTCCGCTGTTTTCTGGCTCCTCCTTCCTCATTAAATAGGATCTTCACATGTGTTTACTTATGCCCATTAATCATACTGTAGTTCCAAGAAATAAACACACCCCAACTATTATGTCTATATGTAGCAATTCCAGGAATAGTGCTAATGTAAAGCCAATTCATATTTCTAGGAATAGCACCACAAAATTGTGGGTGGCAATAAATTGGAACTAAGACAGCAGAAATCATCACCAGATATGAGCATACCTCATAATATTGAATATCATCAGATGGATATTCATTTAAATGCTTTTCCATTTCACGTAGTGAAAGCTGCACTCTAACTGCCTCTTCAGATAAATATGGGTCTTCTATTGTCTCTTGAAAATCTCCTTGTTGAAAATTGAGAATTTCCTGAAGCCAATGACCGAGATCAGTGGAAGATGGTCTCTTTGAAGGGTCATTGTGTAGACATTGCCTTGTAAGGTGGTACAAATTGTGGTTTTCTTCAGGTAGCGCTGCATTTAGCTTTACCATGTACTTACTTCGTCGTTCAACTTCATTTCTTGCAACCAGCTTACCATCAGGAGCTAAATATGTGGCTGGCAGAATGTCTTTTGGAAACTCACGAATTAGTGTATAAAGGGCCAGGTGGCCAAAAGAGAAAATATCTAGGCGATCATTATACCTAGATTGAACATCGAGTGCCTCAGGAGGCATATAAACTTGGGTACCAGGGATCTGGGTCATTGTTTTCATCGCTATTGTTGTCTCAATGATTCTGGAATTTCCAAAATCCGTGATTTTAGCATTCATGTATTTGTCAAGCAAAACATTTCGAGCAGTAAGATCACGATGAAGGACACGTGGAGTGCGACTATGTAGGTAAGCAAGACCACTTGCTACATCAATAAAAATCGAAATCATTGTTGTTAGGGCAAGTTTCTCGAACGTTGCTGGTTTATTTTCAATGACATCTTCAAAGCTGTAGTCCATTAACTCCATAACCAGTGCAGGAAATTTGCTTGATGGAAGTAAGCAGACCCCAAGAAATTTTGTTATGTCAGGATGAATTAGTCCCGACATTAATTTGCACTCTTTTATGAGAAACTTAAAACCTCCTTCTGGAACAAAAATATCATGTATCTTCTTTCCCGCGCATCCGCCGAAACCTTTGATATTTAGCTCCACTACCGTCCCAAAAGAACCGACGCCGAGTATGCGGCCAGTTTCTTTTACACTTTTGTGCACCTTTACTCCTTCTTGCTCTAACCCCTTGATTACATCCATGGTAATTGGTGCATTTAGCTCGGAGCGCAATGCACTTATTACTGCTGTAGCTGCTGTGGGAAACGCTTTTTATCCTCGAGCGGTATGCCCCTAGGCGCGAAAGGGCCGCTTTGCAGGAATGCAGGAAGGGCGTCACCCATCTCTAGAATGTTCTGCGAAAAGGGGTGGTGTAGCCTCGAAACCAGACCTTCCGCTTCCTCCACGCGCGCATACTCCGTACGTTATTATTACGCGTGGGAGTATCCCATCAGAGCAGAGCGTATTATTATACATACGCAGGGATGCGTCATTGTAAAGAAATTATGCGACACGCATTCTCCCCCGTAACGATATGTATGGGAGAAAAAGAGCTGCTGTCAAAACTAAGCGGGATTCGGAGAGGATTTGTAACTGACTCGATGTAATATGTAGTGTCATGTTGTCAACAAACTAGGTCGTCGAAGGTCGTGCATTCACTAGCATTCTTCACCAAAGCAACGGATTCTCGTACGATCACGTGACCGTGTCCGACCGGCTCTACAGTTAGCCTAGCCTTCTATCTGTGCCTCAGAAAATACTCCCACGCGTAGGTATACGGATCGCGGATCATGCGCGCGTGGAGGAGGCAGAAGGCCGGCCTGGTTTCGAGGCTAGCTGTGTTTGCGTAAGTCCAAGGCTACGCGCGCGCGTATACTGACGGTGGCCGGGTCATGATGACGGTAGTCTGGTGCCCAGACCCTTCACAAAAAATAAGCGCACGCGCGTAAACGCATGCGCGAGAGCGGGAGAAGGGTCTGGTCAATAACCACGGGCCAAGGAATTTCAGTAACCACTTATCTCGAGTGGTTGCGGTTACACCCAACTGCGATGAATATCATAATACTAACGCGCGTGCGCGCACACGCGTGCTTCTTTGATGGACGGTATATACCTCTTCCCAATCTTCATGGTTCCAAGGTGCAACTTGCAAATACGCTACGATTGCTCGTGCACATTACTGCTGCATGCCAGCTGCCTGGTGGACCACCTAAACACACGCCCCGTTGTCGGGCAGCCTGATATCGATCGCTGCCTAGCCTACTGCCGTCGTAAGGTAAGGACCGTTCTGCTCACCTGCTCACCGTTCTGGCAATATACAGTACGCATGTAAAGGCGACAGGTAGCTCTGTCTTGCTTCACGAAAGGAAAGCTGTGCGCTGACGGCACGTTATGCAGCCCGAACATCGCGGAAAAATCCCAAGTTGGGTCGCTCCCGCTCGCCAACAATGTTCAACATTTTTCTTATATATGGAAAGCCAAACCCGACGTAACACCACTGCTTTTTGCGCACGCTCTGGGAAACGTTTGTGTAAACGTTAACATACGTATATACATCCCAGCGCTGACCATCCCCGGCCCCAAACACCAGAGGAGGTGGGAGGTCGGACATGTGCAGATTGCGTCATTGTGAAATTTATGCTGACACAGCAATTTCTTTCCCGTAAAGATAAAAGAGCGTGCTGTATAAAACCAAGTGGGATTCGGAGAACTGACTCGATGTAATATGTAAGAAAGCTATTATCCCCACATCCCCTACCTCTCGGCAATAACTCCGTCACACTCACAGCGTGAGCCCTAGGGCCAAGCCAGCACCTTACTTTGATCCTTACAACTCTCTGTGTTGTTTCAAGCGAATTCTCCGTCCGTGTTGTCAAAAAACTAAGCGCACGTCATCGAAGGTCGTGCATTCCTCAACGCGCTATATAGTATATACGATTCACATGACCGTGTCCGAGACACGCCTCTCTCGGCGATCTAGCTGCGCCTGGGCGTGTCGCTCTGCACGTCGACAGGACCAGGCCGGGCCAGGCACCCGGTTTAGGAACCATTCCCGAGTACGTGTGCCAGGAGAGGTGTATCCAGTTCGAATCGTGATAACTGAACCGCGGGCTGAAAAAAGTATGAACGGTGAACACTTCTCTGTTGGCTAGTCTCGCGGGGGATTTGTGACTTTGTGACACGAGGGCGGCCGTCAAGTGGAGCAGCTTGCTAATTAGGCTGCTAAAACTATAAGCATCTAGGTGGTACTATATAGTCCAATACTTGCGTAAGGGTCTGGCTTGCGTACTAAAGCCTCCGCAGCTAGATGGAAGGCGGGGCTTACTCTGTGACACTAACCGCAAGCTAGTTCATCTTGTGCAGGTTCGGACCCAGCTGATCATCCAAAATTTTCATCATCTCTCCCTATCGAGTGCCCAAGATGGTCAATTACCCCACTACTAACTTCCACATCATGGTGAATCTCCCAAATCTCCCCGACCATGGTCAATTACCCCACCCCCACTACCAACTTCCACACCATGGCCAATGATTGAATCTTCCCCTACACATCATTACTGCTCTGCTCCAGTTTCACCTCCTCCCTCACCAACTTTTTCAATGCCTGGGTCAGCAAGTCAAAATTCCTTACTTGAAGCTGTCCTTGGTACATAATATATATACCAGTATGGATTAGTTGCTTTTGCTGTGTTCCTTGCCATGTATTTTATCCTTCTCTTCAGCTAATGTCGAGGAGACAGTGGAAACCATCATGACCAAAACTCAACTCACAGAAGCTAATACAGGTCAGTGTTAACATAAGATTGGGGAAGTGAATAAAGTACCAGTATCTATTATTATTTTCACACCCTCTCTTCAGAGTTGGTCAGCTATTTTCCACTTCTTCTTCCGAAGAGAAGGGGTGACGTTTTCTTGACTGAACAACGTAAATACAGGGGCTTCCAGAAAGATTTCACTTGGGATGAAGTTGGCATTAGTCTACATTTTCCAACTGTATATAAGCGATACAAATCCATCAGAATTTCAGTTACCGTGATGAGGAATAATTGATGATGACTCTATCCTACCAAGAAGGTACGGGCTTCTGCCCACAGTAAGTGCAACATACATGATAACAGCAAGTGATGAACTACTAGCTCCTGTTCGAGTCCGGATACAGCACTGTGCAATCCAAGAAAAAGAAGGTTCGTTAGTTTTCCTTGAAGCAGATGACACACCACCCTATCGCTTTCATCCTCTATGTGATGGTAAATTTCCATTGCAAGAATCGTATGGTGAAATCGAAACGAAACATTTCTGTTGTTTGTGGATTATTTGGAGTATATTAGGGTACCGACTGAAATTAGCACTTTTTGTTTTCTATGAAAGAGATGGTGGGGCAACTATTGTCATAACTAAAAATGAACCGTGGTTGGTTAATGCAGTGAAATTCGAGTATCGAAATGCGACAAAATGTAACTCGACAACAATTTCATGTGACTATACAACCAAAGATATCACTGCGTCTCTACCTGAGCCCCCAACAGAAGGATGGAACATTGAGCCTGTGTTTGTAAGTCATATAGACATGCTTGATGTTTATGAGTATGAACCAGGAAAGCTTTGCCCAAAGATTGAACTATTTACAACGTGGACAGGTGAAGGTGAGCCCAAAGAAGAGCGAATCTCTATTAAGATAAAAGGAGACACAGTTATGCCAATTTCCCTGTGGTGCTCACAAAGTACTCATCCACATAGTTTTACAGCCGGTCAATTGGACTGTAGTGGTGCTGATTTGATCCATGCACTGAAAGTACTTAAAGGTCTGGACAAAGACATTACCAAAAGAGTGGGTCTTCGCTTAGGCCTCTCTCCCCATACTGTGAACAACTACAACCATCCAACAGTGTCTGAGTACCAGGATCAGATACTACATGACTGGATTCAGGCAAGGGATAATGTGAACCAGAATGGTGGTCCAACCTGGAACTCGCTTTACAATGCACTTCAAGATGAAGGGTTACATGGAAATGCCGAAAGGGTGTATCGAACCAATTAGAATATCCACCCACTTAGAATATTCACGATTGGAGGCCTTCCCCTATCATGCAGTGATTGCAAGACAATACACTATATATATTATGGAGAGATTATTGTAAAACAGGTTTCTTGCAAGTTATACCACTGCACAATCATTTTAGTCTAAGACAGAGAAGCAGTCCAGTAGAGAGGTGTCTCGTATGGCGTCTGCTGCGACAGTGCTGGAGTCCTTCCCGACCTTCTCCATGTCCTCCCTCAGCACCACCAGATGAGAGTAGCACGTCTGACATTTCTCGTACCTGACAGATCGAGGGGCAGGCAGGGAGGGTAGAGAGATGTAAAACATGCACAAGTGCCAACAGTGTATGAAAATCCGGCAAAAAACGTAACTACGAATGACAAAATACAGTTGTCAGTACTGCAAAGCCCTCGGGCTTCTAACATGCGTAGATTCCACGGACTCGCGTTTTATAATGGGCCTATTACCCCTAAAGCATTATTTGTGCCCGGCAAAATCACACAAAAATGAACAAATCCCATATCCTATATACGACATCAACAACATGAAGAACTACATTCGTATGTACATACCGCTCTTCTTTGCTGATGTCCACGCCCCCCCTGGCTCCCTCAGCCCCGGGCGGTGTGGCGAGATTGGTCTTAATCACAGGGCCGAAGCTCTTCAGCACTAGTTTTACCACCTCGCACCCACACCTCACATACCTTCAACAACACAAGGTATATTATAGAGACCCAATGTATGGTGGTTCAGTAGAGGGCCGCTTACCATTCATACTTGCTTCTTAGCAAGACTTTGAGCTCTGGAAGTACTAGAATTGCCATGTCTAGATTCCATACAGTTCTGAAAAAGAAGTTATTGAGAGTTATGTTAGGTGAAGGGTTTTACCGCAATTTTAAAAGCTCATGGCTATGCAGTAGTGTATGAACACTGGTATAGCTTACCTCTTTAGTAAGAGGACATTCAACAGATCAACTATTACTGACTGGTTTCCAGAGTTGATAGCTGCCTCTAGTGACACCTATAGAGCCAGTGCCATACGATTTAATACACAACATATACGCCTTAAAGCGTATATTTGGTAATATTGTGGTATAGTAAATTTCTCGTACTTTTTGTAAGAACACGAGGGGAAAGACAGGCAAACCAACAATCCTTAACACCTTGACTAGAATTGGAGAGTGCAGTGTAAAAATGGGGTGGCCTAAAGTTCTCGTACTTTTTGTAAGAACACGAGGGGAAAGACAGGCAAACCAACAATCCTTAACACCTTGACTAGAATTGGAGAGTGCAGTGCAAAAATGGGGTGGCCTAAAGTTCTCGTACTTTTTGTAAGAACACGAGGGGAAAGACAGGCAAACCAACAATCCTTAACACCTTGACTAGAATTGGAGAGTGCAGTGCAAAAATGGGGTGGCTTAAAGTTCTCGTACTTTTTGTAAGAACACGAGGGGAAAGACAGGCAACCAACAATCCTTAACACCTTGACTAGAATTGGAGAGTGCAGTGTAAAAATGGGGTGGCCTAAATTTGTCTCGTACTTTTTGTAAGAACACGAGGGGAAAGACAGGCTAACCAACAATCCTTAACACCTTGACTAGAATTGGAGAGTGCAGTGTAAAAATGGGGTGGCCTAATTTGTTGTACTTTTTGTAAGAACACGAGGGGAAAGACAGGCTAACCAACAATCCTTAACACCTTGACTAGAATTGGAGAGTGCAGTGTAAAAATGGGGTGGCCTAAATTTGTGTACTTTTTGTAAGAACACGAGGGGAAAGACAGGCTAAACCAACAATCCTTAACACCTTGACTAGAATTGGAGAGTGCAGTGTAAAAATGGGGTGGCCTAAAGTTCTCGTACTTTTTGTAAGAACACGAGGGGAAAGACAGGCAAACCAACAATCCTTAACACCTTGACTAGAATTGGAGAGTGCAGTGTAAAAATGGGGTGGCCTAAATTTCTCGTACTTTTTGTAAGAACACGAGGGGAAAGACAGGCAAACCAACAATCCTTAACACCTTGACTAGAATTGGAGAGTGCAGTGTAAAAATGGGGTGGCCTAAAGTTCTCGTACTTTTTGTAAGAACACGAGGGGAAAGACAGGCAAACCAACAATCCTTAACACCTTGACAAGAATTGGAGAGTGCAGTGTAAAAATGGGGTGGCCTAAAGTTCTCGTACTTTTTGTAAGAACACGAGGGGAAAGACAGGCAAACCAACAATCCTCAACACCTTGACTAGAATTGGAGAGTGCAGTGTAAAAATGGGGTGGCCTAAAGTTCTCGTACTTTTTGTAAGAACACGAGGGGAAAGACAGGCAAACCAACAATCCTTAACACCTTGACAAGAATTGGAGAGTGCAGTGTAAAAATGGGGTGGCCTAAAGTTCTCGTACTTTTTGTAAGAACACGAGGGGAAAGACAGGCAAACTAACAATCCTTAACACCTTGACAAGAATTGGAGAGTGCAGTGTAAAAATGGGGTGGCCTAAAGTTCATCGTACTTTTTGTAAGAACACGAGGGGAAAGACAGGCAAACCAACAATCCTTAACACCTTGACTAGAATTGGAGAGTGCAGTGTAAAAATGGGGTGGCCTAAATTTGTTGTACTTTTTGTAAGAACACGAGGGGAAAGACAGGCTAACCAACAATCCTTAACACCTTGACTAGAATCGGAGAGTGCAGTGTAAAAATGGGGTGGCCTAAATTTGTTGTACTTTTTGTAAGAACACGAGGGGAAAGACAGGCTAACCAACAATCCTTAACACCTTGACTAGAATCGGAGAGTGCAGTGTAAAAATGGGGTGGCCTAAATTTGTTGTACTTTTTGTAAGAACACGAGGGGAAAGACAGGCTAACCAACAATTCTTAACACCTTGACTAGAATTGGAGAGTGCAGTGCAAAAATGGGGTGGCCTAAATTTGTTCTACTTTTTGTAAGAACACGAGGGGAAAGACAGGCTAACCAACAATCCTTAACACCTTGACTAGAATTGGAGAGTGCAGTGTAAAAATGGGGTGGCCTAAAGTTCTCGTACTTTTTGTAAGAACACGAGGGGAAAGACAGGCAAACCAACAATCCTTAACACCTTGACTAGAATTGGAGAGTGCAGTGTAAAAATGGGGTGGCCTAAAGTTCTCGTACTTTTTGTAAGAACACGAGGGGAAAGACAGGCAAACCAACAATCCTTAACACCTTGACTAGAATTGGAGAGTGCAGTGTAAAAATGGGGTGGCCTAAAGTTCTCGTACTTTTTGTAAGAACACGAGGGGAAAGACAGGCAAACCAACAATCCTTAACACCTTGACTAGAATGGAGAGTGCAGTGTAAAAATGGGGTGGCCTAAGTTCTCGTACTTTTTGTAAGAACACGAGGGGAAAGACAGGCTAACCAACAATCCTTAACACCTTGACTAGAATTGGAGAGTGCAGTGTAAAAATGGGGTGGCCTAAAGTTCTCGTACTTTTTGTAAGAACACGAGGGGAAAGACAGGCTAACCAACAATCCTTAACACCTTGACTAGAATTGGAGAGTGCAGTGTAAAAATGGGGTGGCCTAAAGTTCTCGTACTTTTTGTAAGAACACGAGGGGAAAGACAGGCAAACCAACAATCCTTAACACCTTGACTAGAATTGGAGAGTGCAGTGTAAAAATGGGGTGGCCTAAATTTGTTGTACTTTTTGTAAGAACACGAGGGGAAAGACAGGCAAACCAACAATCCTTAACACCTTGACTAGAATTGGAGAGTGCAGTGTAAAAATGGGGTGGCCTAAATTTGTTGTACTTTTTGTAAGAACACGAGGGGAAAGACAGGCTAACCAACAATCCTTAACACCTTGACTAGAATTGGAGAGTGCAGTGTAAAAATGGGGTGGCCTAAATTTGTTGTACTTTTTGTAAGAACACGAGGGGAAAGACAGGCTAACCAACAATCCTTAACACCTTGACTAGAATTGGAGAGTGCAGTGTAAAAATGGGGTGGCCTAAATTTGTCGTACTTTTAGCAAGGAATTTTGGAGAAGTACAGTGCAACCAACTATCCCGAACACCTTAACTATAGCTGGAGAGTGCAGTGAAATACAACAATAGAGAACTATGTAACTATCGCTGTGCATGCGTGCCATACACACCCTGGGGTTGCTGGTGGACCACTGTGATCACCTTAACTATAGCTGGAGAGTGCAGTGAATAGAGAACTATGTAACTACCACTGTGCGTGCATGCCATACAGACCCTGGGGTTGCTGGTGGACCACTGTGATCACCTTAACTATAGCTGGAGAGTGCAGTGAATACAGAACTATGTAACTATCACTGTGCGTGCATGCCATACAGACCCTGGGGTTGCTGGTGGACCACTGTGATCACCTTAACTATAGCTGGAGAGTGCAGTGAATAGAGAACTATGTAACTATCACTGTGCGTGCATGCCATACACACCCTGGGGTTGCTGGTGGACCACTGTGATCTGACTTCTCTGAGAGACTGCAGTCTGCTCTCCAGAATGCTGCACACGTCTGCATGATCTTATAGGGAAATGATGGGGATAATAAGGAGTATATTATGTATTATGTATTATATATAGCAGGAAATGTCAAGGGAGAGAACTTCGCAATTTGTTAGCAAATGAGAATTTGACTAAAACAACATCTGAGTGCACCAAAACTTCACGGAGAGAAATGTTTCACAGAGTTAAAACATGCTGCAAAATCAACGAACTCCAAAATTCCCCGCTATACAGTAGGGGAAAAAACTTCAAAATGAATGAGGAGAGAGGCCTACTGGTGTGTATATCTCTTTGCAGCATCTTCTCCAGTGACGGAGTAGAAAAGGGATGAGCAGCGTGGGCGTGTACCTGGGGTTTCACCTGCAACAGACACCGTATCACACAATCACTCTCACAGAATGTGTGCACGTAACTGGAGGCTTTGATTTCGGTGCAAAGTCCTTGATCAGATTATTCCGGACACCTCCTTCTTTTCTTCTTCTGGGGTCTCTCTTTTTCCCAGCAACACTGCCACCCCCACCACCTCTCCCTTCGCCTCCTCCTCCTCCTCTTCTCTTGTCCCCCAGTCCCCCGTCCCCCATTCGAACCACACTGTTGAACTGGGAGGGAGGGAGGTGGGGGACTACACCGCCCGGACCTCCACTACTAGCTGATGATGTCGGTGGTGGTGGGTGGAATGGAGAAAACGTCATGTTCTTGGGAGGTGTGCGCACTGCAGAGGAAGAAACAAGACTCTGCTCAAAAACTAGTGGTTCGAGGCATGAAAATTGCACAAGGTTCACAAACAACAAAATTAAAATGTACTTCTATGCAGTCCTCAGAATTATTATCTATGTATTTTACTGTAGTTCAAAAAGATTTCTTGATTCTCACTGAGTCTTTGTCTGGAGGTAAATATCTCCACTCTCTCCTCGTCTTTGATCTCCACAGGAGGAGAGTCCACCTCTCTCGCCTCCCTCTCTCCCCCTCCTCCCCCCTCCTCCTCCTCTCCCTCCATATCCTCTGCCAGGGGCTTACATACACACACACTGCATGTAGAGAGGGCAGAGTAAGAGAATTCTCAGCAGAGTGGACAAATTACACCTCTAAAATTGCTTCGATCCCCAAGCATCTTGTGCCCCTATATACAAACTCAATTTTTCTATCATCATGCCTGTATACATACTCAAAAACCTTTCTCCCTTCCACACACGCACACACACACGCACACAATTTACTGACTTCCGTGAGCCTGAAGCCTGCGTGAAAGGTCTCTTCATCTTAACCTCTTCTCTCTGATACTCAAACTGTTGCCGGCCACTGTCGAAACATGTACACATCATTCAATACAATGACCCCATATCAATACACACTCAATAAGAGACCTCTGGATGTACCTTGTGGATATGACTTGTGAAGCCTTCTCTATGGGACTGACTGGATCTCCCGAGAAAGGTCTCAACCTCTAAAAAGAGAGAGAAATGGAACTCGGTAGAGAAGTGTGATCATTTGGTGTTTGTCACGCGTATGTTACCTTGAGGTCTATGCACCAGAGGCTGACAATGGCCTGGGAAAAGGAGGCCCCAATCTGCCAAGAGAAAAAAACAGTGAACATTTCATTCAGTCACACGCAGCTACGACATTATTGGCAATGTGTGAAATTTCAGCAGTTGTATTGTACGTGTATTTACGTAAAGCATTACAGTATAATTATGTGACAGCACCGCAGCAATTTGAAACAGTAGGCAGGCTCTCTCTTGCTTGCCAATAATAAATAGGGAGACTTTTGAGGTAAGAAAAATAGAGAATACTGAATTATCAAACTATGAAAGAGTTTCTCCCTTGAAATGGCTATAATTAAGCACAGTAAATGCAGGGGCAGCCTCGATTGAAGGGAGCTCACCAGCTGTTCTCCGGAGATGGCCATATCAGCTACCTTCCCCCAGTGAACTTGCAGCTTATCCTCAGCCTTTGCCGACTCCCACGAGTACGTCTGCAGCACAGAGTTTCACAAAATAGAAACGTGAAAATGGTCCAATGGGCCGCACTTCAACAAAGTGTAAAGCCACTATTCTATAAAGGAGTAAATGAAGGTTCAAACGCACTTAAAGGGGATGTGTCAGTACAGAAGGGCATAATTTAGAAATGTTGGAAAAATAGGGCCCATCAAAAGAATGCAATAAGGTTCCCGATTTTAGCAACATCTTTAAGTTTAGCCATTATACTGCCACATTCCACTAATGCAGATTGCCAATCCACATTCGTGTCCATATGGAGAACCAGCTGTATCATGCAGTGATCCTCACCCGGAGAGAGTCCTGGGCTCCAGTCAGCAACACTGATCCGCCAGAGTCAAACTGGACTCTCCTGACGGGCATCGACTCCGGACCACACACCGACAGAGGCTCCAGTCTCTCGAGGTCCCAGACGATGGCCGTCCGGTCGCCTCCCCCGCTGACCAGGAGGAACTCTTTTGGGTGGAACTGGACTGACGTCACCCCCGCACTGTGGGTCTTGAACTCTGTCACCATTCTTCCCGCGCTCAGGTCCCACAACTGAATGACACAGTTAGAGAAAGTGAGAGAGACCTATAGTACTGAGTATCACACACCTACAGTGTTGATGTTTAATGAAGGAGGTCAATATATAACATTTGCCACGTTAAACTCTTATGACTTACTCAGCTTGACAGAATCATGCACACGCGCCGGTGTGTAAAATTTAGCAACAATGCCCGCATCCACAAAATAGTCGCATTTTGAAATCAAATTGAACAACTTCAATGCGGAGAAAACAAAGTGTGTAGGGGTCATTCGAGTTTTGTGTAGTTCGACTGTACTGACCCTTCTCTACGAACAGATTCGCAAGGGGAACGAGGTGTGTAGGGTACTTGTACTCTAGTTCGGAGTGGTTATGCCACAGGAGGTTCGAGTGTACTGAACCTTCTCTACAAACAGATTCGCAAGGGGAACGAGGTGTGTAGGGTACTTGTACATGAAAGGAGTCGTTATATCATCAATGGTAAGAGAGCAAGCATGAAAGTGAGACGAGAGGAGAGGAGAGGGAGGGGGGAGACCTTTGCGGTGCCATCTTCACTGGCGGACACGATCCATTTCCCGTCAGGACTAAACTGGATGCTGTGGATCAGGTCCTGGTGTCCTTTGTACGTGAATATGCAGCCTTTCCTCCGCACATCCCACAACTGCAGTGAGTGAGAATAGCAGATTAACTCTTTTACCACACACACACACATTAACCCTTTAATTCATGAAATAATGGATTAACCCCTTTCTCTCCGAACACATTAACCCTTTGATAGGGTGATTGATGGATTGTCTCCAAACACATTGAATTAACTATTAATGGGATTGAGGAATTAACTTCTATTAATGGATTTAGGAATAAACTATTATGCTTTGCTTTTCCAGAGCACATTAAAACCCGATTGATACGCCATTGACCGTTCACCTTGACATTGGTGTCCATGGAGCCTGAGCCGAGTATGTCGCCATAGCGATGGAAGTCGAGACAGGTGATGGCTGCCTTGTGACCACTGATTGAGCGAACAGCTGCACATACACACATGAGACCACCGTGAGAGTATATAGTCTGCATTTTAAACAACTTTGAAGTTTAACAAACGACGTATGCACTGTTGTTCTGCACACTCATATTCCAGTAAGCATATTATAATAATTATAGTGAACGTTAGCTGTAAAAATATTTTAATACAACGGTGCATCATGTGAAATTTAACCCCACACATCTTCTGCCATGCAGTATGGTTTGGCCAATAGAGTAACTGACTCTTATTCTCGTCGAGATCAAAGACTTTGATGACTCCAGATTTGGAGCCAGCTCCGACCCAGTTTTCACTGTAGTTGAACGACACACTCTGTACAGGAGATGTGACACCCGAGATACTCTGCCAGGGAGGAAATATTGCACATCCAATCTCATCACATTTCATGTGTATGGATCTCTTGTACAAGCAGCATTCCTTTAGCATTACAGTAGTACTTGGTGCTAGATGTTGAATGAAACACAACTGCAAGTTTCAACCTTGCATTGGACATAGCTAGATTTGCAAAACTTTGGTTCAAACGCAAGAGGTTGCATTGCGACGGAGCTAACCATGAGGCAGTTGGGTTGGCCGACTATCCAGAGGTTGACGCGCCTGTCGTCTCCTCCAGTCACCAGCGTCCGCCCGTTGGTAGGGCTCAGCGCCAGGCAGTTCACATTCGACGTGTGCGCCGCAAACTCGCCTGCAGCGGGGCAGGAAAATTCTAATAAATGCGCACCAACAATAGCCACCGCACTGCACTCGGGGACTCGTGCAACTTGGCTGCTACTGTACACGTTCGGAGTAGCTCACATAATTTCCAGTTGCTTTTTCTCGGTATTTTCTGCTGCCGTGCTCATCTTTGTCCACGCACACTGCTGCAAAACTCACTCGCGCGCACCCCCGCGTGCGCATGTGTCTCTCTGTACGTACACGCCCCCCGCCCCTCTCTTCTAATTTAGCGAATGTTTACGCTAGGAATTTCAATATTTCTGTGTGAAAGAAAAAAATAATGCGTTACAGGTCTTTATGCGGCAGTTTGTCCGCCGAACGAGCTACGTTCAAGGGCAGTCTATCTCCCCCAGAACTAGGGAATATTTCTACTACATCGACCATCAAGGACAGGTCAGTTTCCGCACCCTTGTAAACAAAATCTTGAGGAAATTTACTTCTCGAACAATTTGCAGCTCTTTTTAGACGATACTAGAGTTAAAAACTTCATCACGTGCTTCAAAGGTAGATACACGAGCCATCTGCCTGTAAAATGCATTTGTGTGTTTTTTGTAGACAAGAAATTTCTGGAATTTTTCTTCAAGAGAGTCAAAATCAATACGAGTGGACGCTACGAGTCGGAGTTTCCCTACGTGTCACCATGTGGTCGAGAAACAAACTACATCTGCTGTGACGATCTCCCCGTAGTGTTCTCACAACTACTCGACTCGAGGGACAAGTCATCCAGGATATCGGCGCTTCGGCAGCTCTCTACCTGACCACAATCCTCCCAATTATCATGGGGGCTACCCACCTAACGAGGCCAGTGAGTCTGTGAAAGGCAAGGAAACCCATCTGCTGCAAGTGAGAAATCAGGAGTATGGACACCGTTGACCATACAAACAGAAAGAACTGAGGAAGCTCGGCCTCTCATGGATCTCAAATCTACAACCGCCACCAATGGTTCAGTTGGTTCAGAGTCAGGATTGTACTCACCACTCTCTATATCTCTTAGACTGGCGTATGGAGGAACCCATTCCCTCACAGTTCCCTTCCAGCCGAGTTCTCTCTGCATGCTCCCTGCTTCTGGCAGAGTGTACCATTCTGGGCTAGAGAAGTTGGGAGGGGTTGGGCTCATCAAGTCCAGCCTTGCCATGGAGTTGAGCAGGTTTTTTGTCTATGGAGAGGAAGAGGGGAGGGAGGAGGAGGGGGTGAGAGAGGGTGCTAATCCTGTGGGGTTCAGATGGCAGAGAAGAACGTGGCCCATTGGATTCTGCTCTGATGCTACCAAGAGTGGCACAGTTTACCAATGCCCAAACTTGACCATTTGACTGCGATAATGACATTGCTCAGCACTTATGAAAAGTTTTACGCAGTTGAATGACCCTGTGCGTGGCTTGCTAAAACCAAAATATCTGCGAAAACTTCACTTTACACGATGTATTGTTATTGTACTGCATTTCCTTTACTCATGTAAGCAAAGTTGATGTGTTGGGAAAGGACAGATTGACGGTGATCCAAACGTGTACAAAAAACAAACTATACACACAAAATAATTAATCCTTTGAGTTCAGGATTTCTTTCTGAATAGTTTTGAAGGAGAGACGGCATCTTGGGCAAAAGGAGGCATCAGTTTACTCAGAAATGTCCCCGACCTGCCCGAGTCACTTGCTTCTGTACCACTGGAGAGAAAACAAAGTCAAGATTAAGTCAAAGTATTGATTGGGATATTGCTGTAGTGTGACGTGTTTCAGGGTCAAACGAAGGCTGTGTCTAAAACTTTATCCTAGGACAGTTGGTAGTGGCTGTTATTTAGTATGCGTACTAAGTCAGTGGAGTCGGAGGTATAATAATTATACACTCACTGGGTTTTTCTTCTGTACTCCTCAATCTTGGTTCTGCTGTTTTCTAGCAGTAGTCGAACCGCAGGCTGCAAGGTCAAGACGCCATGAAAAACTACATAGTAACAACTGCACTATAAAACAAAGCCTACAGCGTCGTGTATTTTAACAAATCTGGTGTGTGTTTTGAATGGCGTATATACCACTTTATCAGGCTGACTGGCTTCCAGGTCTTCCCTGAGACTCTCAAGTCCTGGCAACATGGCCGACTGCAGCAGTGACACCGAGATGACTAACACACACACACACACACACTACAGTCAAGGAAAGTCTCATACTGCCAGAGCATACTTTTCTAGCCCTACACACAACACAGTAGCCTAAGAAGATACAATACACAGCTTTATGATTACAGAGAGCTACACTGCAGGTCTAGAACACTGCCAACACCCAAAAGCAGAACTGTATGTACTGGATGTAGGCAAGAGTAGTCTAAGTACATGATGACCAGTTGGGATGTTTGTTTCTGGTATACAAAGGAATGGGAGAACCTGTGCCAGAGTGTGTTACTCTGCCTCAACAACGTGCCACTGGACTGTGCTAAGGAGAGCAATGAAGAGGATACAGCATTCAGAGATGTTTCTGTAGCAGTCCAGTAGGACCAGAGCAACGTCTCTCCTCCGAGTGAGGTTCGAGGCCACGTTGTTCTCCACTGCCACCACATGCAGCTTGGGAATTATGACTGGAGACAGACACACAGACCAATGACAACCAAGACTAGAGGCAGGGTCAAATTTCTTTCAGATGCATAAATTTGCACATGATGAGTTCACAGGAATGAGCAAAAGAGAGCAGGGGAAGGAGAAAGAGAACGTGAGTGAGGATTTTATCACACTTTCCCAAAATATGAATTAATCCTGATTTTTACTTAGTGTGTAAGCAAGAAGGAGCAACACAGATAGCAAGGTGGAGAGAGAGAGAGAGAGGGAGTGGTGAGACTAACACTCATCTCTGAAGACAGGGTCAGCGTGGGGACCGATGGCGGCCAGTGTCTGGAGGACAGCCATGAGGATCTGGTGATCCATACGGTGCTGGTCGTGACTCAGGAACCACTCAAACTGCTCATGGACTCGAACCAGGATCTGTAGGGGCATATGCATACAATATGAGTGATGCAAGACATTCATGAGAAACACTTTGCCTATGTACACCTACACCTAAGGGGCTGCCTGATGTTTGTGCGAAGATCTACAACGTATATATGTATGTGTATGTTGATGGTAGATAGAGAGTTTTCGAGGATTTTAAACAAGCATGCCACAAAACAACTACGTTTCTTTGTGAAAGTTTTTAGTTGTATGGTATGTATATATGGTACAGTACATAATATAGTGCTCACTTCTTTGCTGGTGACAGCCTGCATGATGATACCGAAACTGCTGATTGTCTCTATCCTAACATTACTGCAGAAGAGTAAAACACAATTTATGTTAGTCAGATAACTGAGCTGCATTATTCATACATCTCAGACTCCCTTGCTAGCCGCACCAGCTGAGGTACAACACCACTCATCACCAGCTTCTCCTCCACCCCACGAACCATCACCTGTGGAAGATTCAACCATTACATCATAACGATGTCATAGTCCTGAGCCGGTAGGCCACACCCACCCCAAGGAGGGTGGCTGTGTAGCGTCGGACTGGGGAAAGAGGAGTGGGCGGAGAGATCCTGCAGTAGCCCCAGAAGAGGGGTGTGCCACCTCCGATCTCTCTTCAGTTCCTCCAGCGAGGCCACCAGGCAGTCGGAGGGTGCAAAGTTCAGAGCCAGCTCCACTATCACTCCTCGCAAGTAGCTCAGTAGGAGTTTATCGTCCTGCGCCAGAGGGTGGAGAGTAGAGAGAGAGAGACAGAGAGAATTGGAAGTGCCCTTAAGGTACGTATGTATGTACATTGTCATAGTGAAATACCAAAGTATCGAGGACTACAATCCTGTTCTATTTTTACTTTGCAAAATAATGTGGAGAAGGTAAAAATTGTCAAATTCCACAGCACAGAGCATGACAACTTTATATGTGAAGAGTTAAACCTTTGAGAACTATGCAAGGCAATTTTGGGTCATTATTGCAAAAACGTCACCAATGGTATATGCAGTGTTCTCTGCACTATGAACATACTGTATGTGTACCTTAGGGAAGGTAGCCAGTACACCAGCGACATAGAGAGTGAGGACGGGAGAGGTGATGTAAGACTGACCCTCGGCCAGTGCTGAACTGACGTTCTGCTTCGGGAGAGACAGGTCCTTCTCAAACACCGGACGAATCTGAGTGAAGGAGGGAGGGAGTGAGACCATTTCATTTGAGAGATTGAGAGAGAGAGAGAGAGTGGTTTGGATAAATATAGGTACAGTTAGAAGAGAGAGTGGAAAGAGGTTGTGAGCTTGAAAACATAGGAAAAGAACAATTGCTGTTGGGCACGGGAGGAAAATCTATGGACGGATCTGCTTGAATCAGTGTTACTGTTGGATCGGTGGTCAGTCTCACGTACCACTTTCCGAGTGAAGGTCTCACCGAGGTAGGTACAGTAGGTGGAGAGAAGGACAGATATACTGTGGATCAGGTCCACGTGGGAAAAACTCAGCGTCACTGAGAATAATAGCGAGGGAGAGAGAAAAGCAAAGTTCCAGCATGACTACACGTTGGAACCTCTGAATAAGGGACGCCTAGGAGACATCAAAGTGCCCTTGATTTAGAGGTGTCTCTTATCCAGAAGATTAGCACAACTAACTGCCCTAGACAGGTGTCCCTTATTCAGAGGGTCCATGGAGGTTCCACTGTATATAACTCACCAGTAGCTCTTATCAGCTTCCCCAGGCTGTTTAACGAAAAGACAAATAATCCAAAGACACAAGGTAAACTTGTGGGTAACATACAATTCCTTGGTAAACCACTGGAGGGCAGGCCATGGAGAGAAGGCTTCAGCGGACACTGCAGTATTGAAGGCATACACTAGGGACCCCACTTTCTGCCTGTCTCCTACGATGACCTCGATGTCCAGTAATGGAGAGCTGGGGTGAGGGAATAGGCCTGGGGAGAAAGAGGGAGAGGAGGTGAAGAGAATGCCAGGCAATACATTGTTAAGGGTGGTGGTAGTTGAATGGTAGTGGTAACCTGGGTCACTCTAGGTACAGCAGAGAAGGGAGGGGACGAGAGAAGAAGGGGGGAGCAAGGAAAGAATAGAGAGTGGAAACAGACGGAAAAAGAGAGAGGACATTTAATTTGATGGGAAATCAAACCTTTTCTTCGCACAATTACCAGTGGATCACTTTCAAATGGACCTGTAGCAGGAACACGTTGACATGCAGTCATCGTACAGTAGCAACGAGAACCTGTGTGTGCATTAGTTCTACCAGTGAGGAGAATGCTGGCAAAGTGCCACGGTACGAGGTGAGTCAGAGTCAGGATGTGATGATGAGACTGTTCCACCGCTCCACTTCCACTCTTGGACACTTGCTGCACATAGTAACACAAGACAACTCAAATAATACACAAGAAAAGTAGAAGTGATCAATCCTTGGTCTGAACTGTTCATGTGGATTGTACAGAATCTGAGATGTATTGTGAAGACTAGGCATGCTTCAGTTGTCAAATACTCTATTTCTAGTGGCTACATATCACTAAAAATAATCCAAAAGAGTGTCAGTTGACTTTTTTCCTTTGGCTATACGTAAACCTCGTGAGACGTGCAAAATATCACCCACTATAAACTTAATTCAAAGAAGAACATAGATACATACTAAAAAAAGGAAAAAGGAGAGTGATGATAATGTCAGATCAGAAGGAAGGGGACACAGACGGACCTTGATGCAGGTGACCATCTGGTGGAGGAAGTATGAGAGCATGTCTGACTCCAGAGTGTCCAACTCGAAGGCCCAGGCAGCCAGAGCAGGGAGGAGGACCGAGTACGTGGTCGACACCACCAGCTGGGACGAGTCTCGCAGAGCCTTCAGCAGCAACTCCCAGCTCTGGGGGGAGAGAGAGAGAATAAACAACTTTACTGCAGCAAATCCTATAGAGGGCATGTAACTATTTCATGGATTGGGAGGTTTTGGAAGCTCCGCACCAGTTACATACAAATATTTTCTTGGGCCACAATTTTTTCGGAGTTTAAGCGACTTGCTAAAGAGATGGTATCATAATTATTTGGATAGCACTTTAAAAAAAGAGGTCCACATGAGTGTCGGGACCTGTTTGAACTTGTCGCTGTCATCGGTGAAAGCCACCAGGACGGCGAGGGAGCGACAGACTGCCTGTCTCACACTCTCAGCCTTGTCCTCCGTCAACATCTGACTCAATATCGACAACACCAGTGACCCCCTCAACTCAGTCTGTGATTATGTGTGTATGTAAAACAACCCCAAGTACTACATGCAACAGTGAATACAAAATACTTTAAACTGTAGCTTTATGAATGGATAAGCTAAACAGTGATAAAGATATGTACAACTGAGTATCACACGCATAAAAGCATACAGAGAGATCGCCGACTAACTGGGGTGTACGGGGTAAGTACTCCACAATTTAATACCGACTAACTGGAGTAAGTACTCCACAATACTAACAGGAGTGTATGGAGCTAGTACTCCACAAGCCTCGGCCACCAGTAGCCTCCTCTCGTAGTACTTGTGAGTGATCTGCTCCCACATCTGAGGCAATAGCTCTGATTCAACTCTCAGCGACCCACACATCTTGGCATACTCCACACACCCGTTCATTATCATCTGTCTGCAGGGAGGTAAGCAAGGGGAGGAGAGGGGGTTAATTCAACATTACAATCTGTGAAAGTGATCAACCAGTAGCTAAATGTTTCATATACATATCAGTGAAATAAGTGGATAATTTTTTTCAAAGTTCGGGCCACACAAAGAGTATAGGAGACCGATAGGGGCAGGAACGAAGGCAAGTACAAGGTTATAATGGAGCAAGTGAAGGCAATGTGTACCAATACATGTAGCTAAATATGTACAATGTGCGCACCTCTGGTGTCTGTCAGGTCTCTTGATGAGGTTGAACATGATGTGGAGGAGTTGGTCTCTTGTCTTGGAGTCTGGGTGACTGGCCACCACTCCCAGTAGCACTGGAATCAGCTCCTGACATCAGACACACACACACACAACACATGGGGATTGGGAAGGAAAAACATGGTCACCCACAAGCTTGAGACACACACACACACACAACACTTCTCTTGAGAGCCTCATGGTGGTATTGTGACAAGAGAGGAGTACACAACCATGTGCTTGCTCGCTAAAAGATACAGTAGCACTCGAAGGATTAGTGCGTTAAAACGTTTTTCAAGGTTTCTCCTTTCTTTTCCATTTGCTCTCACTATGAATGATACACAGTTTTAGCTAAAGTTGAAGTAGAGGGTTCATGCTGACTGACTGACTGACTGACCTCTCTCTTGGCTAGGAGGACGTTGGGCACAATGTGAGGGAGACATCTGGCCACCAGCTGAACCACGTCGCACCGCGAGTCGGAGAGTGTGGCAATCTCCAGCCCAATCCTGGAGTCAATCTTCAGATGGACTGTGTTCAGGAGCTCCTGTCTGAACACCACTGACATGTGTCTCGTGTTCACTTCTTTCTCCTCCTCCTCCTCCTCTTCCCTCTCTCCCCCACCGTTCACAGAGGGATTTTGATCAACGTTTTTCACTTGTCCCCCTCCCTCTCCCTCCTCTTTCCCTCCACCGTCCCTCACCTCCCCACCCTCACCACTCTCAGCAGTCAGCGTGTCCTGTCGGTTCCTCCGTTCGCTGTCTCCCTCGGTCACCGACAAGCCCCGCCCCCTCTCACCCTCGTCAACCACTGTCTCCGTGTCGTCCTCGTGTACAAGAGTCACGTCCGATCGTGTCGACACGGCACTCGCCGAGCTGGTCATCGATCGAGTGAGCTCTCCACGGGAATGAGGGGAAGCCCCTTCGTCATCTTGTACTGATAATCCTCTGAGGCTTCCCGCCCGCTGTCCAGGAGAACCCTGAAAGACAATAAATTCAGAAACTGTTGGAAATTATTTCACCCCATTTGTTTGTTGTAACATTTCTAATTTTGGTCTCTATGTCACTGTCACATTCCAATTTTAACTGTATGGCAGAATTTCAAACGTTAATAATATTTTTTCTATTATACATATCGGTATATAGTGGTTGGCTGCACCTTGTCCCTATCCAATTTCTTCTTCCCGGTGAGATCCACTTCAGGAGAGGATCGGTTGATGCTGTGTCTCCTGAGGAGGCCCGAGGTCTCTGTGCCAGAGGAGCGGTGTCTGTGAGTGAGGGAGGAGCTCCGCTGGCGATGGAGGGGGGCGTGGGTCTCCGTCTCTCCCTTGGGAGACCCCATGCTGTTGAGATGGGACAATGGGAAATGGTAAAAATGAGACGATGCACACAGTGTCAATTTCCAAGGTGTAGAACATTTAAAAGGTTCTCAAGTCTATTGCACCACAGGATCTTTCTCACAGAGCGAAATGTTTGCATATTGAGACTTTGAAGACGTGATAATATCACTCGAGCAGACTATCCATTATTGTTTATTGCAATTAACTTTATATTACTGAGGAGCCTCTATGTGTATATACTGATACATACAATACCTTGATCGTCTGATTCTGGCATGGAGCGATTCGTTTTCCCTCCGCAGAGCAAGGTTCTGCCCAGTGACAGTACTCAGTTGGTCCTCCTATATATACATACAGTAGTGGGGAACACAGTATAGTGAGGAACAAAGTATAAACAGTATATAGTGGGGAACAAAGTATAAACAGTATATAGTGGGGAACAAAGTATAAACAGTATATAGTGAGGAACAAAGTATAAACAGTAGTGGGGAATGCGTAACACACAACATGTGTACACCACAGCCACCCATTAAAGGCACTGAGCCACACACCACCATACACAGCGTCACTAACATGTACTGTACACTCACGTACACCAATGAGCAACGGATAATATTAAACTTTATTCGATGAAAAAATGAGGGAGAACATTTTTGCAGAAGGCGACACCATGAAAAATTTTTTTCAGGTCACCCTGTGTATATACGTACACAGCAATTTGTGAAGAAATCTTACTGAAGGTGAAAAATTTCTGCCTCAAAAGATGTACGTATGTATATGCCACACCTATACCCAACGCACCAAGTTCTTTATCCGCTCCAGTTTCTCGCGATCGGACAACATGAAGGTGCTGTAGTTCTTAAACAGGTACAGCAGGTCTGGCGGCTTCGGGATGTTGAGACCGACGTCGTCCCAGTCGTCGAAATCCTGATCTCCGTTCTCCTCTGTGAGGGTAATGGCCGTGAGTTTGTCGCCCTGCTGCATGAAATACTCATGGGCCAGGAAGTTGAGAGCTCGCTGCTCGTGAGGTTTGATGGGTTCCTGGGGAAGGAGACGGAATGGAGTAATAGAGGGGGGAGGGAGGGACAGATGAGGGGCAGCGACTGAGAGGGAAAGGGAGTGAGTTAGCGAGTGAGGGAGTGAGTACAGAAAGACGGGAAAGTTTGTGAAATATGGTCTTACATCTGACTTGACAAGGTTTGCCATTTTCTTATCCTTTGTCGGCCGCACCTCTGCAAACAGGCAGACACAAATCATCACAAACAGCATTTGTCCACTTCACTACTGAGGACACACTACTGGCCCAATAACAAGGGAGAGAAATGAATTAGTCTTGCAGCTAAGTACTGACCTGTGGCCTCAGTGAGACTGCCTCTGAGAGATTTGATAGTCTCCTGGGCTTTCCTCAGTTCAAACTCCAGCACTATACACACCCACACCCATCCCCACACCCATCCACACACACACACACGACAGCAGGGTAAACAAGAGATTGTAGTCGATCATATTACCTCAAACTCTGCCGTATTCTACTTCAAATTTTGACCCTCCTACATACAGTTAGTTATGTATGCAAACCTGCTACTCTGTCGTCATTATCTCTGGCACTGTCGTCTGAGTATCGTCCAAATTCAATTGAGTCGAAAGTCGACATACTCGATGTTCTGACTGCACGTACAATAGAGCACATGGTCACATTTTTAGACATTATGACATGCATGTTTATACAAACGCTCGCTGCATGTACAGCGAGTGTAGCTGTACATTGTGTGCAACAGTGTGGCTACACCTACCCAGGTCGTTGCCCAGCAGAGCCGTGGGCGGCTGGGGAAACGCAGTCTCGAAGTTTCCAGGGTTTGAAAAGTAGTCCCTGAGGCTGGACACGTCTTTGCCGGACTCCAGGAGCTCCGCGTGCAGCTCCAGCGCCGTCAGGAAGAACCCGTCCTCCAGCAGAGCACTGGCCACCTCCTCCCAGTCTCTGGAGCTCTCCCCGCGGGAGCTGCTGCCCGCTGCTGTCCCAGGACCGCGGCTGGCCATCTTTCCAGCCCGACTGTGGTAACGTGACAGTCACGTGGCGTTCAATCTTGACGCAATAAATCACGTGCCAACGCTTTTGACGTAACGAAGGAGGGCGTAGCAAGAGTGGGATGGCAAGTAGCTCAGGCTTGGCTCCCACCAGCAGTACATCTAGTCAGGAGGGGAGGAAGTCTCCCCTCACACTCAACAGAGATGAGCTGGCCACCACGTACAATGCCTTCTTCCTCGAGGCCACACTCACTGCCGAATAGTGAGATCTACCGACCATTTAGATTTAGATTTCAACTTACGACTCTTTTTACAGCAACTATTTGACCCAGCACCATATATCTGGAGTCTATGTCTTACCTTCTGACATCTCCTCTCTCAGTAATACTGCTCTTTATTGCCGTACATTATTGCCACCCCTCTAACTTGTCTCTCCCTAGTTTGGTATGGACTGTTGATAATCAGGAGAGGACTGTACCAGGGTGCCTTGTTCAAGTTCAAGCTCCTAATCCCCGCCAACTACCCTGATGGTGGCTGTCCAGTGAGAACCATCCAATTCTAGAGAATGTCTTACATTATGTAGTTGTGTGTAAGTTCACAGGAGCTGGATTTCCAAACGGGCGTCTACCATCCAAAGATAGAGTACGATACTGGAGAACTAGACACCAAGAAGGAGTTCCCACGGTGGAGGTGAAGTAAAACAAACTTTCCATCTTATATAGCATAAGTAAAAGGCATTCCTGCCGTAAGCCAATTGTGAGGTTTATACCAGTGTTTGTTTCATCGCAGGAGGGACATAAACCATTTATACCAACTGCTGGCCTATGCCAGGAAAATATTCCATCAGATAGACACCACCAACCCTGTCAACATTGAGGCTGGAAAACTGTAAGATAAACATGCACACCAGCTACATACATTTATAAGCACTATATATGAGTGTGTACACAAGTTATTCAATATGCAGGTACAAAACAGACATCAACAGCTACAAACAGAAAGTGAAGGAGAGCATAGAGAATTGCAAACAAGCCACAATGAACCCTGACCCTTCAGATCCACACAGTGTCAAGTAAAACTCCACAGCTCTTTATAAAAAATAAAACAATTTTTTAGTTCTTTTTTCTTCCTTCAGGATTGGAGAATGGAGTATTGATGTCATGAAGAAAGCAAGAACAGAAATATTTGAACCAGAGGTGTGCCTTGGCTAGCATGATTGTGTATGAAATGCAAGTTCTGAAAGTTGCGTTCTGTCTGACAGTGTCTGCAAGATGAGAGCATGGGAAAGAACGCACAGACTTGTGGGCTGTCTTGGGTCAAACCTGGAACTATCACGCCATTTAGCAAAGATGATTCATAGTACACTGCATGCACCAATTTTAGAATTTTAAAGTCATGATTATGATTTTAATATGCATTGTTTGCACCATTTAAAAATTTTATAAAGTCATGATCATGATTTTAATACATCTTTATGCATTGTTAAAAAGTCTACCACCTGGGCTGAATCTTTGGCCAGTTGTATGACACTCTGTCTGAGTGCCACTACTTGTAGTAGCACCCTGTGGGTTGAATGGACAGTGTCGGCAGTGTGTATTGTTAACCCTCGGCGCGCATGCGCAGCGAGGGTTACAGTACTTGGGTCTGTCTGTGTGTGTGTGTGTCTGTCTGTTACTCTCAATCTAACTTCTCGGGTGTTTGTTCGTCTCACAAAGGATACGACCTACTTAACGGGCAATGAAGGTCAGAATTTTCGAACGGTTTTCTCTGAAACTGCTCCGTTGCAAAGCTAGAGCGCGAAAAAGCCAATATGCAAATACACAACGGACGGGACGGCTTACCAGGGTCTGAACGATCCGCGTGCTCTGCGTACCTCGGAGGCACCAGAAGATGCAACGCAGGGCGTGTATCGCCTCTCGCATGCTATCTAGTAGTGTGGTTAGCCCGCGTCAGACTCTGCGCGAGCTGAGAAGAGACCACGACAGCTAAAACTAAACCCAGCCCATCAATATTAGTGGTACGGCGCATGCGTTTACTTACGCGTGCGCGTCACAGTGCGCCGAGGGTTTGCACTTCAGTGCTTTTCATTGGGTTTGTCTGTGTGTGTGTGTGTGTGTGTGTGTGTGTGTCTGTTACTCTACATCTCACCTCTCGAATGTCTGTTCGTCCCAAAAACGATACCATCTACCCAACGGGCGACGAAGGTCAGAAAATATGTGGGGTTTTCTCTGAAAATGCTCCGTTGCAGAGCTAGAGCGCTTCCACCATTGTACGGCTAATGCCGGTAGTCGCCATTTTATCGCTGGCGGATAATACGCATGCGCTTATATTTAGCACAAGCTTACCTGGACCGGGTCCGCTTGCTCTGTCTATCTTGATGGCACAAGAAGTCACAACGAATGGCGTGTATCGACTTTCGCGTGCTATCTACTACTGTAGCTAGCCCGTGTCAGACTCTCTGCGAGCTACTTCGTTCGCCGAGGGTTTGCACTTTAGTGCTTTTCATTGGGTCTGTCTGTCTGTCTGTCTGTCTGTCTGTGTGTGTGTGTGTGTGTGTGTCTGTCTGTTACTCGTCATCTCACTTCTCGAGTGTTCGTTCGTCTCACAAAGGATACCACCTACTGAACGGGCAATGAAGGTCAGAAAATATGTGTGGTTTTCGCTGAAAACGCTCCGTTGCAAAGCTAGAGCGCGAAAAAGCCAATATGCAAATACACAACGGCTTACTACGGCATGATCGATCCGCGTGCTCTGCGTACCTCGGAGGCACCAGAAGATGCAACGCAGGGCGTGTATCGCCTCTCGCATGCTATCTAGTAGTGTAGTTAGCCCGCGTCAGACTCTGCGCGAGCTGGCAAGAGACCACGGGTAACAGCTAAAACTAAACCCAGCCCAGCAATTAGTAGTACGGCGCATGCGTTTACTTACGCGTGCGCGTCACAGTACGCCGAGAGGTTTGCTTTTCATTATTTAAAGTGCTTATGAGCATGTGGACCATTATGTTCTTGGTGTCACACTCTACACTGGTCCGACATGGTCCTTAAAGGAGGAGTGAGTAATGATGGATTCAGACTTGCGCAATATGGGTACAAGTGCATGCATGTACACATTTCAGGGAAAAGCACTATTACCTACTATTCCACAAAGCAGGTTTTAAGTAGCGGCATAATAGGCAGAGTGCCAGAGAAATGGCTTCTGAAAGACTCAAGCCAGACCTAACATTCAGCCATTTAACAAAGATGATTCATAGTACACTTGCATGCACCAATTTAGAGGACAATCTAAAGAGATGAGGTTTCAGAAACAGGTTATATATACTCCATTTTCTTTACACATGATGCATAATAATAGACACTAGTAGCTAAAGTTACAATCTATGTGTTTCTTCCATTTACTTTATTTAAGTTGGGCCTGTATCCAGATGTTGCTGCTAACAAAAAAATTATAACATCACACACCAATGCACATACAAAATAATGTCCTACGCTATATTGCAGCCATAAAAAAACCTACTTCAGTGGTTGTGTCCCCATCACCAAAGCAAGCCCTAAACCAACTGACCAGAGAATAATGTGATACACTTACTCATGTTATTGAGGAAAAAATACTGACCTCCGAGCTTCTTCGATACTGGCATCGTTACCTTGTCTACAAAACACCCGGATCTGTACATCCTTAAATGTTGATGGCAGTATCTTTGACACCTAAAGTGTGCAGTCATAATGAAGTGGTATATACAAAAATGCTGTACATATTACACACACCTGCTCTCTGTGAATTTGTTCTGCTTCAGTTAGTTTATCTTTTCTGAAAAAGTACATGCAGTCAATTGGATTTTCTCCTTCCATTCCATAGTCAAATTTAACACTCTGAGGATTTAAAAGAATAGCTACACTGTAACTGGGGTAGCTATGTGCTTAATATATTTACCATGAAAATGAAGTCATCTTCAGTGAGGCCTGAAGGAATTTTTTTACAGAACTTTTTCTTAACCTATAAGCATGCAATGAGAAATAAATGCAGATACTGTATGTTTAAAATAAATATACTTCAGCTTCAGTGTGTTTTAGTGTCTGGCCAACAAATTTGTACAGCTGTCGTTTCTCAACTCTTTTCAGAATAGCCTTAGCCTGTAAGGTGTTTAGGTCAGAAGGTTATACAGCCAGTCTGTAGGCAATAGACCTATTCATCTACATACCTCTTTCAATTTGCCGTCTGGGTCAAGGTCAGGGTCAGGGTCAGGAAACGACATTATTTGTTGGAAGACTTGGTCCGTAAGTAGGGTGTATGCTTCTACATTACTAGCTGCTTCAGATAATTTCACCCTGCGATAGGTGGAAGTAAACTAAGAGAATAAGATGCAGAGAGGCAATAGCTATACCCTGCTGTTCCTGGAACTACAAAGTGATCTTTAGCTTTAATCAAGGCTTCTTTTATCCTAGAATAAGGATTTAAAAAATCAGTTTTCAATATACAAGAAAGCTCACAGCTACTGTCCTCACATTTCTTCGACGATACTGCAGGTTTTGTGCTTGCAGGCTCTTAGGTGAAGCATGTGGCGAGTGTGGAACATCTCATACACATTGTACACTTCCTGTTTATAGTTATTCAAGAGAATAATGTCACAAGAATCACAGTTTATATACCTTGTCTCTAGCACATATTTGCAGTACTCCATGAACTTCAATGACGCGAACAAATTTCATGTATCGCCTATTGTAAATAATTATTTTATAGATGAATTATAGGCTTCACAGCTGCATATGCAGTTTTGTACCTGAAGTCAAAACTGTTTGGTATACCAAGATGGTGACAATCTCGAGCAAAGTAGTCAAATTTATCAACATCTACTCCAGTTCTCTTGTTGGCCACAATCTGCATCAGCACAAGTGACAAGTTTCTCAATCTCTCTGCATGTAATAGTACATATGTATATACCTCAAAGAGAAATCTCTTTGACTGGTCTCTTCCATGCTCTTCGACAGTCTGTAACATGTGCTATAGGTAGCCGTTGCCAATCAGCATTGCTAGTAACTCACTGCAACTTTGTCAGTTTCAAGCCCTCGAATCAATGCCTTTATGAACCTCTCATCCTCTTCTCCTAGACCATCCTCTTCTTCTAGCTGATGATACTCCTTTTTTTCCATATATTCTCTTATGTTATTCTCCGCAATGAGATGCTCAAACATTTTGATGGACTGCTCCTCATGCTGTGTTGCCAATAGAGTAGCTTATAATATACGAATTAAACTAACGAGAAACTTACCTCCAACCACGTATACCCAACCCTTTTACCGCCTTTTCAAAGAGATGTGAAAATGGACCATGCCCTGAAATTAGGATGTAATTACAGACAGAATCAATCATAAAATGTATTAACTGATAAGACTAACCAAGATCGTGACAAAGGCCGGCCAATTTGACGCACAGTACATCTTTATCATCGATTCCCAGTTCTGGTTGTTTACTTTTCAGACTTTCAACCATTTGTCCAGCAAGATAACCCACACTATGGGACATTCAGGCAATAAATAGGCTTTATTATCACGATACTACTAGCTATACACTGACTCACCCAATAGAATGCTCAAAACGGTTGTGTGAAGCTCCAGGGAATACATAATAAGCACCACCTGTATAATGTTTAGCTAAACTAAGACAAAAGCATGAAAATCAGCTCTATTTTTACCGAGTTGCTTGATATAGCGAAGTCTCTGGAACTGAGGAGTGTCAATGAACTTTACCATCAGTGGATGAAGTTCAATGTGACCATGAACTGGGTCGTTGAATACCTGGTTATTAGTCGGCCAAGATTGCAATTAGACAGGGAGCCAATGATCTTTACCTTTTCAAGCTCCTTCTTCCTACCATGAACTGGGTCGTTGAATACCTGGTTTATAAATGCGATCAATGATGAGAAGAATTGTTCGTAGCTATCGGTTTTTCTAGCTAAAGCATGCAGATTTTATAGCTACTGGTTACTCACAGACCAACCTTATCACTGCGGTCACCCATTATTCACTTTGGAAACGAGCCGTAGCAGCGATGCGAGCGATGCTTCGTATGGTTTCGTAGTCTCCACTACACGTCGCACTCGCAAAGGCAGAACGGCGTTTAGGTTGCGCGGGGGCGTTTTCGTTTGCGCGATTACGCACGACGGCACGACCCACGGTTATGAATAATAATTATAAGAGGAGCCCCTCTGAGCAAGCACTGTTCATTCGACATTGTTTTTCCACAATTTAGACCCATAAATGAAGTAGTCATTGTAGAGTGTCGTGAATGGACCCTCTCACCCCATTGTGCTACATAATGGAGATTTCCTTGATCATCACAAATTTCACAAAGGCCTATATACCTGGCTGTCGGTTTGTTTGCTTAAGCAAGGTATGGTTGAGCTACAGCAAAATATTCAGCAGCAAAGTAACATACAACCTTCAGCTACAATTATGACAACTTTCAAGCAGAGACAATGCCCTAAAAGAACTGCATGTGTGCATGCGAGGATGGGGAAGAGTATAGAGAGCCTGGAACTAATATATCGTTCAGCAACGATTATCAGCAAAACATTTTGAATGTAAAAATCACGATGATGATTTTACACACATATAGCTCAGAGGAGAATGATATTCATTGTTGTATTTCGAGGTGCTCCTGAAAGTCTGCCAGTTGACTCATGAATCCAGGGTTGGGCTGAATGGCTGGTCTACTCTTCTTCAGTCTGTCGTATGCCAGTTCCAGGGAGACCCTCTCGGTTTCTATCACATAGGCCAGAGCCACCGTGGAGGATCGAGAGATCCCTGCATTACTGTAGGGACCAGTGGGCAGCAGTGGACATAGTGGCAATGGCACTGTAGAAAAACCTGTCAGTAATGTCAGTAACACAGGCAAGCTGTAGTGGTAATGTTGGTAAGCTAGGTAATGTGGTAGGATTATAAGCACAGTTTGGTTTACCAGTGCACTAGTACAGTTCCGCCGTCAGAGTGAGCCTGTTTGATAAACTGCCGACACCTCGAGTAGTGACTTGTGAGGAGTTCAGACGGTTCATCATACATTGGTACAGTCAGATACGTGAAATCCTGCACGAAGAGAGAGGTATGCAGCAGGTGAGGACTATCATGTGTATTTGTTGGATATCCCTAGGCAACCGACATGTATGAAGCTAGGTACTGGGGCATTGTATCAGCCTATACAATCCTACATTGTGCAAGCAGGGTTCATACATGTCATTTGCCTAGGGATATCCAACAAATCTGTTGCAGTACCCAGACAGGACAGCATTCGCCCTTACAGGGCTCATGCTGTCCTGTCTGGGCACTGCAACATATACATACAGAGCATACAGAGCTAATACTACAGGGGTGCACTGCTAAAGCCGTGAGTCAACAGCTCACTCAGTTTGTTGAAGGAAATGTAAACAGTTGTACAGTTGGAGCAACAGCTTGGTTGAGAGTAAACAGCTGACACTAGCAGAATGGAACAAACAGTTGATCACACACACACTCTACTTGATTCCATGCGGAAAATTTAACTACTCACATTCGCTCGCTAAAGATGTGTTGCTAGTGTACATCTCACATCAGGGAAGGCATTGGGGACACCCCAGGCCACATTGAGGACGTGAGTGACTCCCAGGTGGCGAAGGGTGCCCAGATGATGGGCCACGTCTTGAGAGCCAACCAGCAGCCTCTCCTGTGCCACGCCCACTGAGAGATCTGGCTGGAGGTCGGGACAGAACCCCAGACCTCTGTTCCCTTGCTCCTCCACTGATCTTACCCCTGCCTCGTCCCGCTGACCCTCAACAAACTGTTGATAAAAACACCAATCACAGTTTTACCAGCATATGCCAGTGAGTCTCCACCTTTTTGCCGTCTGCAGTGGTTATGCGTGTTTCTACACTCTTTAGAGTGTCTCTGTTGAACCCTTTCAACTGGGAAAAGATGCTAGACATGCTCCGTTCCCCTCAGTCCTTGCGCATGCACACGAATTGCCGTCGTCAGCAGCTAGCATTCATTGGTAAACACCTCTACTACGACTTCTTTGTAAAAAAACATTTTTAGTTCTTTTTTTCTTCCTTCAGGATTGGAGAATGGAGTATTGATGTCATGAAAAAAGCAAGAACAGAAATATTTGAACCAGAGGTGTGCCTTGGCTAGCATGATTGTGTGTGAAACGCAAGTTCTGAAAGTTGCGTTCTGTCTGACAGTGTCTGCAAGATGAGAGCATGGGAAAGAACGCACAGACTTGTGGGCTGTCTTGGGTCAAACCTGGAACTATCACGCCATTTAGCAAAGATGATTCATAGTACACTGCATGCACCAATTTAAAAACTTTAAAGTCATGATCATGATTTTAATACATCTTTATGCATTGCCAAGAAGATATTTAAGTCTGCCACCTGGGCTGAATCTTTGGCCAGTTGTGTGACACTCAGCCCAGGTGGCACTATATGAATGTGTTGAGGAAATCATGGTTGTTATTTTTATATTCAAATTAGTGTATATACCGGTGCAATATACGTACAATAGTGCGTCAGTTCGTTGATCTAAGTTCATAGTACACTAGCATGCACCATTTTAAAATTTTATAAAGTCATGATCATGATTTTAATACATCTTGCATTGTTAAAAAGATATTTAAGTCTACCACCTGGGCTGAATCTTTGGCCAGTTGTGTGACACTCTGTCTGAGTGCCACTACTTGCAGTAACACCATGTGGGTTGAATGGACCGTGTCGGCAGTGTGTATTATTTAAAGTGTTCATGAGCATGTGGACTAAAATACATTATGTTCATGGTGTCACGCTCTAAACTGTCATACACTGGTCCGACATGGTCCTTTGAACTGACTCAAAGTAGCGGCATATAGGCAGAGTGTTGAAGAAGAATAATAATAATAATACTCGCCATAGCACTAGGGCCATAGACCACGCACCCAGAGCAATGGGCGGAACCGTTAACAAACGAACATACACCATATGAACATGAGGTGTCAGAGAAATGGCCTCTGAAAGACTCAAGCAAAGCGACCTAACATTCAGCCCAGGTGGCACTATATGAATGTGTTGAGGAAATCATGGTCGTGATATTTATATTCAAATTGGTGTACCGCGGTGCAACATACGTACAATAGTCAGTTTATTGAGTACAATCTAAAGAGATGAGGTTTCAGCACCAGGTTATATATACTACATTTTCTTTACACATGTGCGTAATATATTGGCATGATACTATGACACTAGTACCTAAAGTTGTCTTCTACAAATCTATGTGTTTCTTGCATTTACTTTAAGTTTGGGGCATAATGGTATCCAGATGTTGCTGCTAACAAGAAAAATAACATCACATGCCATTGCACATTTTTTTAAAAGTCCTACGCTATATTGCAGCCATAAACAAACTTTACTCAGTGTGGCTCGTGTCCCCATCACAAAGAAAGGCCCTTAAACCAACGCCAGAGAGCTAATGTGATACACCGATCTACACTTACTCATAGCCACTGCCAACCATGCAGTAGTATCTATGTGCACACATGCTAGACACAATACTATGAACTGAGTCTTTGGTTCTACAGGAGCCTGAAACGTGAAGTGGATAACTTTTTGGATGTTCTGTGAAATATTTATCCTATTTTATAGCTAAGTATATAGATCACTACAAAATCACTTTAAAGGCGTGATGATAATATAAAACATCTCTAACTAAAACAAAATCTAAACCTATTATTATGAGTCATGGCTCGCGTGTGAAATTGAATGAAATATTTTAAAAGGATCAGTTTCTGCGCGTTCAAAAGACGTAGGTTTCTGCGACGCTGGAATGACTGTAGTACGGGCGTCAGAGTGGTGGTCTACCACTATTTGGAGTGCCATGCCATAGAAGCTTCCTTACCTGCAATTTATACAAGTCATGTAAGTAGTAAAACCTTGCGGATGGAGCGCGTGTACAAACAGTCGTACCGTGGGAGGAGTAAGTAGCCTGTCTACTGCACCACACTTTTCAAAATACTGAACACTAACCAAGCAGAATATATGTGACAGATCAGCACTACGTACATATAACAACAGGCCATTATTGAAGAGAGAGTGAAAGTCTACGTAGTCATGTGCAAAAAGTTATGTTCACTGACTTCAAGCTGCATCGAGCTGGGCTTTGTCTCTTTCCGACAAGACGACTCGTATCTGCTGGCTTCCCTAACTATGGAGCAGCATCTGGGACCCCTGAATATGAATAGAATTCACACATGCTTCTTGAGGCACAGTATAATAGTGGATGGCATTCAGATGTTGTCATACCTGGCTTTGCAAACTTTCCTCGGCCTTGTCTGAATTCTCTTTTGTTTAGAAGGACTTGATCAATTGTGTTCTCTGGCCTTCTTCTTTACCATAGAGTCAAATGTAGCAATCTGCAAAACCATATAACTGAACAAGACATTCGCATAGCTCCATTACCAGTCACTATTATGATGTCCGCTTCAGAGAGTGATGGAGCCCGGCTCACGCTCTAGATCATCTGGACTGAGGCGGTTTATCATCTCGGAGCATATCCTTGCCCCGTCTGCTCTAAACACAAGGCCAAAACAGTAAACTGATAGTTTTAACTCCTTGCAGTCAGTCAAAGGTTTTCTTCTTTCTGTCTTGTGTCTGTCCCACATGTTTGTACAGTCTCCGCTTCTCCACTTTGCCAGAGTCTTTGGCCTGGATTTAACCACAGTCAATTAGAGAGGCCATGGCTACTATGGCAATATTGTTGGAGTTTGGATCATCGGAGAGCTGTATCTGCTGCAGCACTGGTCAGTGAGTCTGGTGAAAGCAACAGGGTCCTTAATAGCTCTTGACATTTTTACTTTCCTGAAAGAGAATAACACAATCGTCAAACTAAAATGAAAACATCACATACTCTCCATACTTCCCAGGAATCAAGAGATGATCATCTGCAGCCACCAGAGCTTCATGTTATCCTACAGTAATAGGTTACACAAAGTGCTGTATAATGCTCCATGGCATTATAGCTGGTAAGTCATTACATTCTCAATGATGTGATGGTCTTGTGCGGTAGGCCTTTCCTGTTGCAGCATGCTGCGAGTGTGTGGAACATCTCATAGATATTGTTCACCTCCTGTTCAAGTTGAACCATGTAACAGATATATGTAGCAATAGACTCTCTTACCTTGTTTCTGGTGCAGATTGCCGTCTTCGATGGACGACCTGTCCTCATAGGTCATATCGACTTCAATGACCCTCACATGTCATGTATCTCCTGTGAAATAATAATATAGTAGCAGACCTCACATCACACTTGGCCTTGTAACAAGCATGGTTTGTACTCACCACAGGTCAAAGCTGTTGGAATTCCAAGATGTGGCAGTCCCGGGCAAAGTAGTCCCACTTGTCCACGCTACTCTGTCCCTTGTTGGCTACGATCTGCAGCACACAACATACAAAAGCAAGTGAACCCATGCTTAGCTCTTCAGTGTATGTCTGTTGATATATGTACCTCATAGAGAAAGCTCTTCGACACTGGTCTTCCTTTGTATTCCCAGTCCTATACAACAGTGGCATACATACAATATCCATGGAATAGGGTCTATCACTCATATACATGTCGTGTGGGAGTTGTGGGAGTTTCATTTTTTTCATCCTTGCCAGGTCCTACAATCAGCTCCTCAATGAAGATCACGTCATTCTCGTCCAGACGATAGTCTTTCTCCATCACCTTCATCAGATCATTCTCCTTTATGAGGTGGCGCAGCATCATCACTGAGGCAACTTCATGCTGTGTAACAAGTACACTAGCCACTTGGACTATGTTTATCAAAAAATGAAGAGTCTTATTTACCTTCCATTTGCTTTTAGGCAACACCCTTGGAATGAACTTTCCATCAAAAACATGAGAAAACGGACCATGTCCTACGGTGATAAAAGGACAGGTGTGTCATACATTACAAACATGGGGAAACTGCTGCAAAGGGACACCCATGAAACAAGGACACTATTGACAAAAGAACAAAAGAACATCATTTCTCAAAGCTATTCCCTGTACTAAGGACACCTTAATAACAAAACACGCCCTCTTCTGTTCAATTAGAGGGGTTCCACTGTGACTGACCGAGATCATGGCAGAGTCCAGCTAGCTTCACACAGAGAACATCTGCATCAGTGATATTCAGGTCACTCTGATTCCTCTGAAGGGTCTCCACCAATTCTCCTGCCAGATAGCCAACTCTGTAAGTGGGGTGGTTTTTTTTCAGAATCAGCGAGCAGATGTTGTTCTTATAGTAGGATAATAAGTTCTAACCAGTTATGGCGATGAAGTAAGGAACTTACCCAATGGAGTGTTCAAATCGATTGTGTGATGCCCCAGGGAATACATAGTAACAGCCACCTACGAAATATTTTCACAATTACTTATTAGTAAAGTAACCAGGTACCCACCGAGTTGCTTGATATAGCGAAGTCTCTGGAACTGAGGAGTGTCTATGAACCTTACCATCAGTGGATGAAGTTCAATGTGACCATGAACTGGGTCGTTGAATACCTGGTTTATAAATGGGATCAATGATGAGAAGAATTGTTCGAGCTATCGGTTTTTCTAGCTAAAGAATGCAGATTGTATACGTAGCTACTGATTTGCAAAACTCACAGACCAACCTTGCCTCGAGGCCGAGGGGGCTCCTTCTTGGAAGAGAGCGAGTTCGGTAATGATCCTTCTGCAGGTTCACCAACCTTATCACTGCGGTCACCCATTATTCACTTCGAAAACGAGCCGTAGCGATGCGAGCGATGGTTTCGTAGTCTCCACCATATAGTGCACGGGACGTCGCACTCGCAAAGGCGTTTAGGCTGCGCGGGGGCGTTTTCGTTTGCGCACGACCCACGGTTATGAATAATATAAGAGGAGCCCCTCTGAGCAAGCACTCTTCATTCGGACATTGTTTTTCCACAATTTAGACCCATAAATGAAGTAGCCATTGTAGAGTGTTGTGAATAGACCCTCTCACCCCATTGTGCTACATAATGGAGATTTCCTTGATCATCACAAATTTCACAAAGGTTATATATACCTGGCTGTCGGTTTGTTTGCTTAAAAGGTATGGTTGAGCTGCTTGGTCAAGCCTGGAACTAATACATCGTTCAGCAGCGAAACATTTTTAACGTAAAAATCATGATGATGATTTTACACACATAATAATAATATATAATTATAGCTGAATGGAGAATGATATTCATTGTTGTATTTCGAGGCGCTCCTGAAAGTCTGCCAGTTGACTCATGAATCCAGGGTTGGGCTGAATGGCTGGTCTACTCTTCTTCAGTCTGTCGTATGCCAGTTCCAGGGAGACCCTCTCGGTTTCTATCACATAGGCCAGAGCCACCGTGGAGGATCGAGAGATCCCTGCATTACTGTAGGGACCAGTGGGCAGCAGTGGACATAGTGGCAATGGCACTGTAGAAAAACCTGTCAGTATTGTCAGTAACACAGGCAAGCTGTAGTGGTAATGTTGGTAAGCTAGGTAATGTGGAAGGATTATAAGCACAGTTTGGTTTACCAGTGCACTAGTACAGTTCCGCCGTCAGAGTGAGCCTGTTTGATAAACTGCCGACACCTCGAGTAGTGACTTGTGAGGAGTTCAGACGGTTCATCATACATAGGTACAGTCAGATACGTGAAATCCTGCACGAAGAGAGAGGTATGCTGAGCTTGGGCATACAGAGCTAATAATACAGCTATAATGGTGCACTACAAAAACTATGTATGTGTAGTCAACAGCCCAGTTTTTGTTGAAGGAAATGTAAACAGTTGTACTGTTGAAGCAACAGCTTGGTTGAGAGTAAACAGCTGACACTAGCAGAATGGAACAAACAGGTTGATCACACACACTAATGTTCTACTTGATTCACATTCGCTCGCTAAAGATGTGTTGCTAGTGTACATCTCACATCTAAAAAACATTTTTAGTCTTTTTTTCTTCCTTCAGGATTGGAGAATGGAGTATTGATGTCATGAAAAAAGCAAGACAGAAAATATTTGAACCAGAGGTGTGCCTTGGCTAGCATGATTGTGGTGTGAAACGCAAGTTCTGAAAGTTGCGTTCTGTCTGACAGTGTCTGCAAGATGAGAGCATGGGAAAGAACGCACAGACTTGTGGGCTGTCTTGGGTCAAACACTGGAACTATCACGCCATTTAGCAAAGATGATTCATAGTACACTGCATGCACCAATTTAAAAACTTTAAAGTCATGATCATGATTTTAATACATCTTTATGCATTGCCAAGAAGATATTAAGTCTGCCACCTGGGCTGAATCTTTGGCCAGTTGTGTGACACTCAGCCCAGGTGGCACTATATGAATGTGTTGAGGAAAATCATGGTTGTTATTTTTATATTCAAATTAGTGTATATACCGGTGCAATATACGTACAATAGTGCGTCAGTTCGTTTGATCTAAGTTCATAGTACACTAGCATGCACCATTTTAAATTTATAAAGTCATGATCATGATTTTAATACATCTTGCATTGTTAAAAGATATTTAAGTCTACCACCTGGGCTGAATCTTTGGCCAGTTGTGTGACACTCTGTCTGAGTGCCACTACTTGCAGTAACACCATGTGGGTTGAATGGACCGTGTCGGCAGTGTGTATTATTTAAAGTGTTCATGAGCATGTGGACTAAAATACATTATGTTCATGGTGTCACGCTCTAAACTGTCATACACTGGTCCGACATGGTCCTTTGAACTGACTCAAAGTAGCGGCATATAGGCAGAGTGTTGAAGAAGAATAATAAAATAATACTCGCCATAGCACTAGGGCCATAGACCACGCACCCAGAGCAATGGGCGGAACCGTTAACAAAGAACATACACCATAGAACATGAGGTGGTCAGAGAAATAGGCCTCTGAAAGACTCCAAGCAAAGCGACCTAACATTCAGCCCAGGTGGCACTATATGAATGTGTTTGGGAGGAATCATGGTCGTGATTATTTATATTCAAATTGTGTACGCGGTGCATCATACGTACAAGAGTCCCAGTATATGGAGGACAATCTAAAGAGATGAGGTTTCAAGCAACAGGTTATTATACTACATCCTATTTTTCCATTTGTTGGCCCTTTCTTTGTACGTACAATTTTTGTCCCAGCTCGCGTTTAAGATATTGCATGATACTATGACACTAGTACCCTACAGTTTGCTTCTACAAATGCTATGTGTTTCTTGCATTACTTTAAGTTTGGGGTCATATGGTATCCCGATGTTGATCTGCTACAAGAAAAATACATCACATGCCATTGCCTATTTTATACTTCCCCACTCCTTTTCCTTGTGTCAAAAAGTCTCCGACACCCCTATTGCAGCCATCACCCAACTTTCACTACCTGTGCGTCTCTACCGAGTCTTTCCACTACAACCCTTTTTCAAAGACCAGCCCTAAACCTAACTCTGACCAGAGAGTAATGTGATACACCGATACACTTACTCATAGCCAACTGCCAACCATGCAGGACTCATACTAGGTGCAAACACATCTAGCAAAATCTAGAACTGACTGTCTTGTTCTACAGGAAGCCCTGAAAACTGAAGTGTGATAACTTTTTGGATGTTTGTGAAAAATATTTATCCTATTTATAGCTAAGTATAATAATCACTACAAAATCACTTTAAAGGACGTGATGATATATAAAAATTCTCTAACTAAAAACTTATAAACTTATTATTATGGAGTCATGGCTTCGGTGAAATATAAAAGGATCAGTTCTGCCGTTCAAAAGAGAGGTTTCTGGCGACGCTGGAATTGACTGTAGTACGGGCGGTCAGAGTGGTGTCTCCACTATTTGGAGTGCCATCTAGAGCTTCACTACCCTGGAAGTTTATACAAGTACATGTAAGTAGTAAAAACTCTTGGGATGGAGCGAGTGTACAAACAGTCGTACCGTGGGAGTAGCTGTACTGCACCACTTTTCAAAATACCTGAACACAACAAAGCAGAATAATATGTGACAGATCAGCACTACGTACATATAACAACAAGGCCATTATTGAAGAGAGAGTGAAAGTCTACTTAGCATGGTGCAAAAGTTATGTTCACTGACTTCAAAGCTGCATCGAGGCTGGGCTTGTCATCTTTCCGACAGACGACTCGTATCTGCTGCTCCCTAAATATGGGAGGCAGCATCTGGGACACCTGAAATATGAAATAGAAATCACATGCTTCTTTAGGCACAGTATAATAGTGATGGGCATTTCAGATGGTTGTCATACCTGGTCTTTGCAAACTTTCTCGGCCTTGTCTGGATTCTCTTTTGTGTAGAAGCGAGCTTGATCAATTGGGTTCTCTGCCTTCTTACCATAGTCAAATGTAGCAATCTGCAAAAAACCAATATCAACTGAACAAGACATTAGCATAGCTCCATTACCAGCACTATTATGTCCTCTTCAGAGAGTGATGGGAGACCGTCTCGCTCTAGATCATCTGGACTGAGGCTGTTTATCATCTCGGAGCATATCCTTGCCCCGTCTGCCTATAAACACAAGTCAAAACAGTAAAATGATAGTTGTAACTCACTTTAGTCAAAGGTTTCTGTGCTTGTGTCTGTCCCACATGTTTGTACAGTCTCCGCTTCTCCACTTTTGCCAGAATGTCTTTGGCCTGGAGTTAACACAGTCAATTAGAGAGGCCATGGCTACTATGCAATACTTGTTGGAGGTTTGGATCATCGGAGAGCTGTATCTGCTGCAGCACTTGGTCAGTGAGTCTGGTGAAAGCAACAGGGTCCTTAATAGCTCTTGACATTTTTACTTTCCTGAAAGAGAATAACACAATCGTCAAACTAAAATGAAAACATCAACATACTCTCCATCCTTCCCAGGAATCAAGAGATGATCATCTGCAGCCACCAGAGCTTCTGTTATCCTACAGTAATAGGTTACACAAAGTGCTGTATAATGCTCCATGGCATTATAGCTGGTAAGTCATTACATTTCTTCAATGATGTTGATGGTCTTGTGCTGGTAGGCCTTCCTGTGCAGCATGCTGCGAGTGTGGAACATCTCATAGATATTGTTCACCTCCTGTTCAAGTTGAACCATGTAACAGATATATGTAGCAATAGACTCTCTTACCTTGTTTCTGGTGCAGATTTGCCGTCTTCGATGGACGACCTGATCCTCATAGGTCATATCGACTTCAATGACCCTCACAAATGTCATGTATCTCCTGCAATAATAATATAGTAGCAGACCTCACATCACACTTGGCCTTGTAAACAAGCATGGTTGTACTCACCACAGGTCAAAGCTGTTGGGAATTCCAAGATGGTGGCAGTCCCGGGCAAAGTAGTCCCACTTGTCCACGTCTACTCCTGTCCCCTTGTTGGCTACGATCTGCAGCACACAACATTACAAAAGCAAGTGAACCCATGCTTAGCTCTTCAAAACACGTGTGTATATCTCTGTTGATATATGTACCTCATAGAGAAAGCTCTTCGACACTGGTCTTCCTTTGTATTCCCAATCCTATACAACAGGGACATATATAATATCCATGGAATTGGGTCAGTCACTCATATACATGTCGTGTGGGAGTTGTGGGAGTTTCATCTGCATTCTTGGCAGGCCCTACAATCAGCTCCTTAATGAAGATCACGTCATTCTCGTCCAGACCATATTTCCTCATCTCCTCCATCAGACCATTCTCCTCTATGAGGTGATCCAGCATCATCTCTGAGGCAACTTCATGCTGTGTAACAAGTTCACTAGCCACTTGGACTATGTTTATCAAAAAATGAAGATTCTTATTTACCTTCCATTTGCTTTCAGGCAACACCTTTGGAATAAACTTTCCATCAAACAGGTGAGAAAACGGACCATGTCCTACGGTGATAAAAGGACAGGTGTGTACATTACAAACATGGGGAAACTGCTGCAAAGGGACACCCATGAAACAAGGACACTATTGACAAAAGGACATCATTTCTCAAAGCTATTCCCTGTAATACGGACACCTTAATAACAAAACATGCCCTCTTCTGTTCAATTAGTTCACAGATTAGAGGGGTTCCACTGCGACTGACCGAGATCGTGGCAGAGTCCAGCCAGCTTCACACAGAGAACATCTGCATCAGTGATGTCCAGTTCTCTCTGCTTCCTCTGAAGGGTCTCTGCCAATTCTCCTGCCAGATAGCCAACTCTGTGAATGGGATGGGTTTTTTCAGAATTAGCGAGCAGATGTTGTTCTTATAGTAGGATAATAAGTAGTTATAGAAGTGTACGGTTCTAACCAGTTATGGCGATGAAGTAAGGAACTTACCCAATGGAGTGTTCAAACCGATTGTGTGATGCCCCAGGGAATACATAGTAACAGCCACCTACAAAATATTTTCACAATTACTATAAAAGGTTGTAAAGTAACCAGGTACCCACCGAGTTGCTTGATATAGCGAAGTCTCTGGAACTGGGGAGTGTCAATGAACTTTACCATCAGTGGATGAAGTTCAATGTGACCATGAACTGGGTCGTTGAATACCTGT